TGCTTTTACTGTCATACCTTTTTTCAAGTTAAATGAAAGATCTAACTGTTCTTGTGAAGTAATGGACTTTGTTCCTGGACTTCAGGACAATTTTCACATACCTGTACTGTATACTTAATGTTGTTATTTTGGTAACTTTCACTTCACGACAATGGGTACTTTTACTCTACTACATTTCCCCAAAACATCTTTGTCTCTTTACTGAAAAACAAAATTGCGAGCAATTGTTGGTTTCCGAATTGCTTGAACCATGGAGCACAAAGTAAAAAACGGGAAAATAGTCCTGCCTGCCCTAATCGAGGCACGCAATGGGCTGCCTCGCTCACATACTAACAACAATGATGAACTGTGTGCTGCAGGTGATGACGACGATAACCTCACACACCCATGGGTATATTTACAGGAACGCTTTTCGTACACTGATGAGGTGCCTCTTAAAGCAAGTTATAGCAACAGCAGTATTGGCGTTCAATTAACCACTCCCCGTGCAACCTGAAGAGGGTTGGTTAAATTAAATTATATTAATCCAGTGAAGTCAAAATGTCAATGTTCCTAAAGTTATCATGAGCTTGTTTCGGCATATGACTAAAGTGATGATGGTCAGGCAAACGTGTGCGAGCTAACTTCACGAGCTACATTAGCCAACGTGCAGATCTTTAACTCTGACAACATTAAAATATAGAAAACAATCACAATTCTAAATGCCTCCTTTTATTTTGAAGAAAATACTCTTACTTCTACTTTAGTATTTTTGCCCAGAAAATTACATTTGATACACAAGGTAGAGAAATACTTTGATACTTAAATCCTAAAGTGACTTTTAGTTCTACACTAAGATATGTGACTTGTAACCAAGTATTACTTTCTGGCACTTGATCTACCTGTGACTCGTTTGCTCTTGAGGGAGGCCTCTGAGGCCAGCATGTAGGACATGGTGATGATCCTTTCCTGCTCCTGGAGAACCGAGTCCAGCCCCAGCGGGCTCACCTCAGACTTGTCTGCTGCACATACTGCTGGAGCCAGCTTTTGAACGCTGGAACAGACACACAGGAAATTAAAAGGATGCTGTTAAAATGGTGAACTGCCTTGTCAAAAAAAGAAAAAAAGTAATTAGCAAAAGTCTACGATTCAGTTTATGGTTTTTAGTAGTGCTAAAATGACCATGTTTAATTATTTGTGCATTGTTATTTATGTACAACCACAAAATACCCCCCAAAAAATAACACACCAAATGGCACTTACACTTGAGAAATAGTGCCACCCCTAATAAATGTCAATACCAACATACGATATGTCCTTCATTTTTCAATTTCAAAATGCACATTTTCAGTTTTTATTTTTGTTTCATTGATTTCTAATTGCGAACCTGGATTTTGCCAAGATGCTCTTGATCCTTTCCACCTTCCGATGACGGTCCTCCATCTCCTGAGGACTCAGAGGTTCTTGTGGCTCTAAATCCACATATCGCTCGGGAATCAAAACTTTCTGAGGCTTTGAAAGCTGTGCAAAGAAATCAGGGGAAGCTTTTCAAATGACATAATCATACACAACACAGGGTCAAAATTCCATGAGGAGCGCATCCTCAAAATATGACGTCTGTCACACTTCAGCCTTGTACTGCTGGTATGACTGCATAGTAGTCATGTGTGAGTAAATCACAGCCCATTAGAAATGTTGAGAATTGCCTATTGATGCCTCAAGCTGGAAGCAAAGCACTACTTTTGTTTAAGACAGGACTGAAAGAGAATGACCAGATAAAATCAAAACGATTAATCGTTTGATTATTTTTTTCAATGAATCAGTTGATCGGATAAACATTTTTTTTTCAATTTCCATGCCTGTATTTCAAACTGACAGACTAAAAAAAATACACAAACACAAATTAAGTAAAATTCATTTACTGATTTGGGTTGTAACATGTTAGAAAACAGGCAAAAATATTGACTTGTTTCCAAAGTAAAAGTAAACAATTGCAAATGTCCTTTTTTTGGTTAAGGTCAGAAAATAGAAATAATAAAAGCTTTCACAGAGGGCGACAGAAATATGAGAATATTTACTGTTGAGAGGTTGACATTTCTAAGATTCTGACAATTTTAAATTAAACTCTCTCACAGAATAATCAGTTCTCAAAGTAGTTGTTGGTTCATTTGATTGTCAATGCCTAGTCATCAATTAATTGTTGCAGCTGTGATTTCTAGTGTTTGTAGCAAAAAGCATTTGCCGTGGAAAGAGACAAGTCGAGGAAATTGGTGATGAAGCTCCTCCCTTTTCGTCAACTTAGTTTCTTGGTGCCAAGATGGCACAGGATGGTGCCAAAGCAGTACTTTTGTTCTATTTATTAGATAGGGCTTTGTCATTTTTAAAAAGTGTTTAGTCAACCGTGAAGATGTGGGCTAACACTGCATTTGGGTATCTGCACAAAAGCACTTCCTGTACCTCTTTGATTAAATCTGCATCATAATCTGATGTTTCCAGGCCGTCATGGTTCTGAGGAGTCCCGGTTGCAGAGCTGAAGCTCAGCCAATCGTCGGAGTGTGAACGGGGTCTCTCTTTGTGCTCTGGGGGTCTCTCCTCCCCCTGGACGCTCCTCACGACCTGAGCCTCCTCGCCCTGCACGGCCCTTTCCAGCAGCTGCAGGTCAAACTCCTGCTCTCTCCTCCACTGCATGACACACACACACACACACACACACACACACACACACACACACACACACACACACACACACACACACACAACGCGACAGCGAGAGGCACACATGCACACAACGCCAGGACGAGTTGTGTCACCGGTGACAGGCAGAAAGTCAAGACTTGATGGAAAAATGGCTAGACAAATATTTCATATACTGTACTTTAGATCCAGTTTACGTACTAATACGCTTTTGTCCACACTGCACCCATAAAGGTGCTGGGTTAAAAATAACCCATATTGGGTTATTAAAAATATATGTAACCCAATATGGGTTATTTAAAAATAGTCACAACCCAGTACGGGTTTTCAAGAAGATAAGGGTCATTTTCAACCCAGCAGTTTCAAGGGTATAGTAAGAAAATGCAGTATTTCAGTAAAATGGCTCATGCACTTAAATGTTTTTTTTCCAATGCTTGTGCCACTTTCACCCTATTAGTACACTTTACCAGTAAAATACTGTGCTGCATTATTAACAACACAAATACCTGACTAGTAGGCATGTGTCACATACCAGTAAGCTCCTGGACTCAACTAGTAGCATCAAAATGCCCACTAGTAGTTTTTGCCTCACTGTTAAAATGTCCCACTAGTATGGTAAAATTGTTATGCAATAGTGGAAAACACGTTGCTTGAAAGACAGTCGCTATACAAATGTGCCCTAGTCGTAGTTGTCCTATAAGTAGACAAAGCTGTCCCCCTACTGAGGACAAAGAACGTACCCATACATGGATCCTAAACTGAATCATCAACAAAATACTCAGTGGCTTTGCTTAGAAATATTTGTCCTACAAGTCTCCTGATTTTGTCAGACTAGTGAGGAGAAAACTGTTCTAGTACACGGGCCTTAATATGGTTAGCAAAGATGCAGTAATGTCAGACAGCAGTTGAAAAAAAACATCACAAGCACGATATTCATTCTTTGAGTGCGCTGGAATTTGAGACTGTCTAAAATGCGTCATGTATGGGTAAAAAAAAAAAAGTCTAATGTTGCTTAATACCAGAAAACTGTGATGACTCGTCACCAAAATTCACATCCACAACTCATTCACCACAATACTTTGGATTTTATAGGCATTTGGCCTCCCAGAAACATTCGCTATAGAGAAAAAAAAAAAACTGGATTTGCTTAATGTTAGAAAACTATGACCAAAAGTCACCAAAGTTCACGTGCACATCTAAACACATGTCCACATCCATCTCTGAAAAGCTCAAAACACACGCCCTAATATCTTGGATTTTATGGGCATTAAGTGTTTTCGCCATTAAGTGACATTAAGATGGAGTGAGCACCTACGGAGAGGAAGATGTTAATGATCATAAAATGTTGATGACGATTGGTTGTAATTGTTTCATATTTCCCAATGATGTTTTTTTTTGTTTGGTTTTTTTTTTGTTTGTTTTTTTTTTCATTAAGCATTTTAGAAAAGTTTCTAGTTAGGACAAAAAGTGTAGTAGTACGTTGACCGTAAGCTGAATGTCTAGGGATAAATGCCCGAACAGCTTTATGGAAACCCGCTTCACCATATCGTTCATCTTCTTGATTGTACTAGTCGCGCATGAATGTCAACATGTGCACACTTTTGCCTTCTTAATATTATGTGTAGCACTCGTATGCCAAAGTTGCCCAGTGCACTGGAATACAGTAAACAGGGGTGTCAAACTCATTTTAGTCGCATTCCACATTGTACTAATGGTTTTCCTTGGAGGACTACCATGACTGTGAAATCATATAAAGGTATCATCACTTAACTAACTAGTTCCTGGCACTAGTTACTGGCATTTCAAAACTATAACTAGTTTTGAAATGCCAGTAAATTCTTTTTTTTGTATTCCTTTTAAAGGGGGAATGGTCACCATAAAACCTTGCAATCTCTCATATCTCAATGTCGTTAATAGCACAGACAATTTGCAAGAAACATGAAGTCAGCACACATGATTTGACTTCACGAGCCACATAAAATGATGTCATGGGCTGGATCTGGCCCCTGGGCCTTGACTTTGACACCTGTGCAATAACAGTAGTCATACAGTAGTGGAAGGCTGAAAAAGAAAAAAAAAGGGGGAAGACAGTCATTCTTCTTTTGTACCATATTCATTCTTCTAGTGCACTCGATCGTCTTATTAGAGAGGACAAAGTGCTGACTCCATGAACCTTAATATGGTATCCTCAAGGACATCAAATGCTTTCCACAGTGGACTACCCTTTAGTTTTCTTGCCTGGAAATATGTCACTTGTGCCTTGACACCACTGGAAAAAGTGAAGGTTGTACTTTGCGTGCGTGGTTAAGGACGTGCGGGTGGGAAATGGGGAAACAAACTGTAGCATGCATGCTAACATGCATCATAAACACAACATGCTACTAATGAGCTACACACAAGGCCAGTACTTAAAAAAACTAAACAAAAAGAAAGAAAAAAGAAAACATGACATTGTGAGTTCATACATGTTTATTCATATGAAAACACCCAACAATCTGAAAAAAAAAACAATGAGAAAACGCAACCAATGTTTTATTTCCATCATTATTTTGGATACAAAATCATTCACTTTGTTGATACTGTACTTTGTTAAGTACACCTGAACAGGCGAGTTAGATCCGCATTATCTTTTAAAGGCATGCATTTTGGATGCAACTCTTCTATTGCAGCTCATGTTGTCGTCGCCAGTCAAGAGTGCGTATTGGTCAGCTATGATAGTTCTGTAAAGCGCTTAACTAGTCATCTTTCAAAGACGAGATCAACAATGGTGGGCTTTATCGGACTAAAAATCATCGAGTAAAATTGTTATGATGGTGTTACGTGAAAAGACGACCGAGATCTGCATAGCTCCGAGTATCTTTCTCTCGCTCTCTCTCTCTCTCTCCCCCTCTCTCTCACACGCGCACACACACACACACACACACACACACACACACACACACACACACACACACGAAAATGAGATGATGAAAGCATCAAAATTTCTAAATATTTTCTATTGGCAGCAGCAACAAAAAAAAAGGTGGCCGTCTGATTATTGATGAAAACATGCAGTTGACAGAATGCAATTTTATAAACAAGGCGTTCCTGTGAGGATAATCCGTTCAGAGAATGGATGGATGGATTGGTTTGCAAGCTTTTGTGTCCAAGGAGATTTTTTTTTTTCCCCAGTGACCCAGCTCTCATAATCCTTACGTCCATTAAATATAACCACCATGGGTACCACAAAATGATGTGGGAATTAAGCACTTGTCGATTGTCGAAAAAAGTTGGAATAATAATAAAATTATAATACCGAATTCCCATTTGCTTCAGACAAAAAAATATATTCCTACGAGCCTTGAGAGGATAAAGCGGATCAGAAAATGGATGGATGGATGGAAAAAATATATTTTTAAATTTACAAAAACAAATACTGATTTCGTTAGGATAAAAAGTTGAAATGTTATATTTAACATTTTTATGGATCAACATTCACAAATTCACAGAATTTCATTTTGGAAGACATACTCAACTAATTGCTGTTTTTGTCCACCATCTGGTGGCATCTTGGTGTCATGGAAACAATTTGGAGTGATTTGAGGAGCTTCACTCAGACAAAAGTAGTTCTTTGCTACCACGTTGGGCAAGGTGTTGATTATTCTTATTCAACATACCGTAATTAATTGCAAATTATTCGGCGGACTCCAGCTCATGGAGCCTAATTTGACGGCCACTAAGGTGTAAATTACAGAAGTTACTTGGAAACTATCAAAGTTTAAATAAATCCATTAGACTCAATATGTGCCAATGCTAAACAGCTAAGTACTTGTGATTTGGCCACAGTTGCACGTAAGTTCGGAGGAAAGCCTCTTAAGTTACACACAAAACTTTAGAGTTTCACCTGTCATGAGGCATCATGTCGCGCAAGATTGCAACATAATGCACCTCACACATCGAAGCATAACTCTTTGGCATCGTCAAGACAGTTGCATCTTTTCACTATTCGCGACAAGGCTCAGCCCCTCACACAATTTCTATTTCAAATCATTGAAATCCATTTTGCGGGAAGTCATCTTTTTCGACCTTCGAGGTTCCCCTGCGTTCTTGAGAGAAGAGCATTCAGTCTAAATTGCTCTGCTGCCATCTGGGGGATTTTAATTGCTCAGTGTTGTTACATCTCTATTATTTGCGATAAGCAATATCGTTTTAAAATGCTCTTAAATTTGGAGTTTTGGAACATACAGGGTTGCTTAGTTGAGGACAGTAAATCCATTCTTAAAGCGACTACATGACCAAATTTGTACTTAAGTCAGAACACAGCCCAACATACGATGACATCCTAGTAAAGTCCTAATTACAGTTCCAAAGCGGGATGTGGATGAATGGGCCTTTCTGGCCCATGAATATAAAACAATCAAATGGAAAACCTCAAAGTATGTTAACCGAGGGTGCCTTTCTGTGCCACGTGATAACATTCTCACGCCCCATGCAAACCAGTCCATCTATGTCATGTTTCAGGGACAGGGGGGACCCCAGCATGAGGTTCAACCAAAGAGGTCTCACTACTTGAAACAAGAAGTGACGATGGGGCTTCCTGTTCAAGTCTGGGTGACCTGAAGAAGTGACTGATGAAAGAGGAAATGTCTTTCAGAAGGCAACATTGGTGACTATCAGCAGCAAAATGGACGGATGATTTCGATAGGCAAGGAGATGATGATAACGTGCAACAACACAGAAGCAGTGTACAGCGAAGTCCTGCATACTCACGATTCACCCATTAAATATAAACTTTTTGGTCGGACGCTACAAACTATAACCACAACAATAAACATGCGGTGGTGCTCAAATCTCTCAAAAGTGAATACAGTGCTGCCTTGAGAAACAAGTGACCGGACTTTTTCAAACAATTCTTCAAATAAAGAGGATTCAAGCTGTTTATTGCCACGATGAGTTGGAGTTGACTTTCAAAGTAAATTTAAAACAAGAATTACGTGTTGTGTCTTGAAAACAACCACATCGTTTTTTGTTTTTTTTTGCTTCGGCAAGTCTGATAGCTTAATGCAAAAAATGCAGAATTATTCTCTTTGTCTTTCTAGGGCAGATTTATTAAATAATAATAATAAAAATAATAGATTTTATTTTCACTGCTTATAAAGTGCAAAACATTTCACCAAACTATGGGTTTGAGGCAGAACTAGTGATATTGAGGTAAAGTGTAAACTAGCCACTGGATTTGGATATTGTCTGATCATGCTGCATGCAGTATGATCAGACAATATCCACAGAGTGCTAGTTCTCTTAAGAAGTATTACCCAAAAAAATTTCCTTTTTTTGTGTTTTTGTTTTTTTTTTGTTTTGTTTTGTTTTGTTTTTTTTTAATAGGCAGCAATGGATAAATAAAATTTCCATTTATTTCAGATGGGAAATATAATTTGAGAGGTGAGTGTTCTGCGAGTTACAGCACGTGGTCACAGTACAAATTAAACTTCTATCTCAAGGCACCACGGTATCATCACGAAAGAGTCAAGCCGCACAAAGTTCAGCAGTTCAGCATTTGTGTGTGTGTGTGTGTGTGTGTGTGCGCGCATTTAGTTAGTTTATTGCTTTGGTGGCATCAGTGTGAGTTGTGGAGCTATTAAGAGTGTGTCAGTTACTTTTCGTGGATTTTTTTTTTGGTTCACTGTAGTTTTTTTTTTTCTTTTCTTAAACACAGTTGTGTTAATGTGCAGGTACCTAATGTTTTGGCCTGGCAGGTTTTACCACTTGGTAGTAACTATCAAATCATTCTGTATTTTCACACTACGCTGTAGCTCAATGTTATTCTATGGCAGCTGATTATGTGCAAACGGACATTTGTTAGATGAAGGGATAGAAGACAAGGACAGGATGAGTTAGAAAGACGGCAGGCGTGTTTTGAGAGGGATACGCAAATGTAACGTATGGATGATTCCAGTTAATGTCAAGTCATTGGCATGAGCAACTTCGAAACGTTTAGAGAAATCAAACATCCTTTAACTTTACTCGGATGAAATGTCATCTCAACTTTGAAGCTGAAAGTCAGTGAGTGAGCAGAAATGAATGTACATGTGTAATTTTGCAAACAACATGCATTGAAAAAGTAGTTTAGCATGCATCGCAAATGTTTTGACATGTGAGGGGAATGTTCGCTGGGCCAATCTCTGTTTGCCCACCGCCATGCGTGAGAATGTGAGGTGTGGTGATGTTCTAGATTACAAACATACAGATCCAAAGTCAGCCGAGAGAGGGCGTGAGGATGAGGAGGAGGAGCGTGACGATGTGGAGGCGTGGCAGTCCCCGTGGCTCAAGGTGCGCTTGCGCTGTCGCACCAGAGCCTTCTGGTGCCTCTTCATCCTCTCCAGCTGCTCGTCGGCGCTCATCCTCCCGCGCTGAGGCGCCGCCTCCGCTGAGTAGAGACGCTCCAAGGCACTTTTCGATCTCTCCTGAGATGAAGACAGGGGAAAGACGAAGCAAAACGTGCACAGGGGAGGGAAGAGAAAGGAAGTGATCATTAACACTCCATCGGTGTAACTGGGATGGTCCGTAATTAAGGAGCCTCACCTTCACACCGGGAGCTGATGTCGCTCTCCGTAAGGTCACGTAAGATGAGATGCTTGAGGAGTGATTCAGCCTGAGGGAGGAGCCGGCTATTCCTGAGAGAAAATAAAAAAAAAAACTCTCAAACATTATAGCTTGGGCCTCAGTAGACGTGTTGTATGACGTCAACGTGATCGTACCTCTGGTAGGTAAAGTCTGATAACCTGCGCCGTGTCCTGATGAGGTCATGCCGGCGACGCTAGAGCCATCTCCCACACCCAGAAGCTCAGGATCGCTCAGGAAAGGCCTGAGCTCCACCTGTCACAACCGCAGAGTCGTTCGGTATATGAAGCAGGCATGCCAAAGGCAGCCCTTGTACTGGCCTTCATGTCATTATGGAAGTCTGTTTGTAGTACAGTGAACCACCCCGTATATTGTTTGACCCCTCCATAGGCCTCTATCACTGAATACTTATTAGAAACACTTGACTTAGCTAAGCACACTTTTTAAAGTATTAACTTAGAGCCAGTTTTCACTCTCTCATGATCAAGAGATGGAAGACGTGATATCACTTTGAGGAAATGAAAAGAAGACTCGCTCTCACAGATCTCCAAGAGGCAAAGCGCGTCGTTTAATTTAATACTCCCAGTTGAAGTTGACTATAACCCTGACACAAAACAAAAGAGAATTAACAATTGTACATTCAAACACCAAAATACAAAGTTAAACCAAGCTCTACTTTTGGCCAACGAAAGTTGCCTAGCTTAATGCTGCGATATGAATGTGAAATGTGGGTCAATGTAAATTAACATAGATGTTATGATAATTCTCAATCTTTAAACAGCTATTTTGACTTAAATGAACCATAAAACAATACAGTACTCACATTTACATTTTCAGACTTGCCTGGATACTGAAAAAATCCAGTAAATATGATTACTTAAAAAACTGCAATGTTGCAAGGGTGCCAACGATGAGCCGATATCGCAGGATACACACACAGAATACTACCGTACATGACGTAAACGCACTGTACCTTAATGTCTCCATTTTGGCCTATCTCTCGATCTCGCTTTCGTTCATCAGACTGTCGTTTGAGTCCGCGTACTGAAGTGTGCCTGATGACTGTCGTCTCCCTGGGCAAAGGGGGCACAGCGGGGGGATGCTCATCAGGACTGTAGACTTGAGGTAGAGGCGGTCTGGGAGGCACATCTTCTTCGTCCTGCACACACACACCATCTGATTACTTCAAACTGTATGATCTATGCAATGAAACTCAGCCCATTCTCTATTAGACACGTCACCTGTTCGTATTTTACTCTGTGCAACCTATCGCCAGCTATTCGTATTTTTGCGCTCTTTCTGTAACGTCCTACGATGCCACAGTCATTGATGTCAAGGGTAAAAGATAAAAAACATTTGTCTGTCAAGAAGGAGGAGTTAAGTTTAGCCTGCATGTAGAAGTAATTAACATGACTTAATGCTGTATACTAATAGATTTAAACATGTATAAGTCAGGTTAGTTTATGAATAACAAAATACAGCAAACACATAATTTTTTTTTTTTTAAGTCCGCAAAATGTCCGCAAACGGTCCGCGAGAAGCTGCGAAAGTCAGCAAAACAACAGCGAGTCATCACATCGAGCAACATATACAGTACTGTACTACATGTATTGATTTTTATTTATTTATTTTTTATGAATATGTTTGAAAAAATCCGCAATGCACTGAAGTCGTGATAAACGAACCGCGAAATAGCGAGGGATCACTGTAGTAAGACACTGTCGTTCTACTTGTGAGAACATTATACTCGTTTATGGACCTTAACGCTGGATATGAAGGATATGGAATTAATTCTCAAACGGATTTCCATACATCTGCACGTCACTTACCCATGTATGCCCAGTAGTGTTGGTTGTGGAGTGAAGCGGCTGTTGGCTGTGGCTGGAGGATAGCGTGAGGGTTGGTGCATTGTGGCTATTAGGACTGAGGTGGGGACTGTGCTGCAGCTGGGACAATCTCATCTCCATAGAAGGCGGGCTTCCAGACATCGAAGGCACTGACGACGTCGACATGGAAGGCACAAATTTCCTCTCTGGGGAGGGTTGGATGTGAAATGAGTACACAAATCAGTGTGTCTTTTCCACCGGGTGCATTCAATGCATTTACACTGATGACAACATGACAGGCTATTTGGGAACACAGCATTTCACTATACTCACAAAAAGTTGGGAATACTGTATTGAGCTTTTACTAGGCTGAAATTTCACACGAAACATAAATATGTACCTAACAATTTTTGTGAATCGTGTACACATACAAAGGGTGCGGGTTTCAGTGTTTTTCTCACCCGGGTTGGTCACAGAGGAAATAGTGACTTTGTAGTTGTCTTTACTGCTGCTGAGGCCTGCGATAACATCCTCAATTCTCCAAAGCTCTTTCCTCATCTGGACTTTCTCTTGCTGCTCATACACAAACAAATGCACATTTACATCCGCCGAGCTGGCAAATAAGTGGCGTAAACCAGAAAAAAAAAATCATCTAAGTTGCAATGCCATGAATGATTTGTGTTGTCAAAACTCTTTGTCAAAGAGACATGAGCGATGCAGTAAATGAAACGATGAGCTGAGGAAGCAGAAAATGAATCTGCACATTTTTAACTTTGCGGCTAAACAGTTTGTTGTGCACCAAGGCAGGTCTACTCAAATGCATCTAACCTTCCAATGTTGAATTTTCTAAAAAAATGTTTAAAAATAAACAAACAAACAAACATCCAGACTTTCATACTTGAGACAACATAATGCTGCACGGCAGAGCAAGGGTTCATGGATTTCTTTTTAAGCTTTTCTGCACTTTGAATTGGTTAATAATACGACAGACCAATAATATTGTGAAAAACTATGAAATTGACCATGTGACATTTCCACCCGACAGCAATGATAATGTCCCCATTTTACGCATTCACATCTGCCTTGCTTGCAAACAACTGAATGACAAATAAATGTGCCGCGACTTCAGAATTAATTATCCCTCATGCGTCTGTAAAAGAGACACTGCATACCTGAGATAGGTCAGTGCGAGTCATGTGTCCTTGCAGGGCTGCTCTGAGCCAGTCTACATCTTTCTCCAGCCTGATGTACTCTTTCCATGCATTCTCCATCTCCTGCACAACAAAAGAGGGGTCCAGCTTTGTACACCTGGAAGTCTAAACTCCTTTTTTATTGAATACCAAAGCACTTTATTTGGGAACACAGCATTTCACTATACTCACAAAAAGTTGGGAATACTGTATTGAGCTTTTACTAGGCTGAAATTTCACACGAAACATAAATATGTACCTAACAATTTTTGTGAATCGTGTACACATACAAAGGGTGCGGGTTTCAGTGTTTTTCTCACCCGGGTTGGTCACAGAGGAAATAGTGACTTTGTAGTTGTCTTTACTGCTGCTGAGGCCTGCGATAACATCCTCAATTCTCCAAAGCTCTTTCCTCATCTGGACTTTCTCTTGCTGCTCATACACAAACAAATGCACATTTACATCCGCCGAGCTGGCAAATAAGTGGCGTAAACCAGAAAAAAAAAATCATCTAAGTTGCAATGCCATGAATGATTTGTGTTGTCAAAACTCTTTGTCAAAGAGACATGAGCGATGCAGTAAATGAAACGATGAGCTGAGGAAGCAGAAAATGAATCTGCACATTTTTAACTTTGCGGCTAAACAGTTTGTTGTGCACCAAGGCAGGTCTACTCAAATGCATCTAACCTTCCAATGTTGAATTTTCTAAAAAAATGTTTAAAAATAAACAAACAAACAAACATCCAGACTTTCATACTTGAGACAACATAATGCTGCACGGCAGAGCAAGGGTTCATGGATTTCTTTTTAAGCTTTTCTGCACTTTGAATTGGTTAATAATACGACAGACCAATAATATTGTGAAAAACTATGAAATTGACCATGTGACATTTCCACCCGACAGCAATGATAATGTCCCCATTTTACGCATTCACATCTGCCTTGCTTGCAAACAACTGAATGACAAATAAATGTGCCGCGACTTCAGAATTAATTATCCCTCATGCGTCTGTAAAAGAGACACTGCATACCTGAGATAGGTCAGTGCGAGTCATGTGTCCTTGCAGGGCTGCTCTGAGCCAGTCTACATCTTTCTCCAGCCTGATGTACTCTTTCCATGCATTCTCCATCTCCTGCACAACAAAAGAGGGGTCCAGCTTTGTACACCTGGAAGTCTAAACTCCTTTTTTATTGAATACCAAAGCACTTTCTGACATTGACCTTGAGTAAAAAGGCCTGAAACTGACAAAATTGGAAGTGTAAAGGAAGTAGTAATGATAGCATACATTTTGGTGCTCATGCAGATCAGGCCTAGACAAAGGTCCAGTCATTTATGCTTAATCATTTTCTTCCATTCCTTTGGACTTGCGACAAACGTGTTACTTACTGTGGACACTTTGGATATTTCCGCCCTGATGTGCACCACATCCTCCTGCAGTAGTTTCTGCTGGTAGGCAATTTTCTCTATGTGGGCTGGCTGATCTCTGTACTGCTCCATCTGCTGGTGGGACACATCCAACACCGACTCCAGCTTGTCCTGGATAGAGACAAGAACACACACTCAATTAAGGATTCACTTTGCCTTTTTTTGGGTGAAGTTGCGCAGGGTACCATAATTGAGCTGCCAGTTTTGGGTGTCCTTCAAAATGGGGGACCATATCTTGTGATGCAGTATCTGAAATGGTGGCACTAAACAAACTGCTGTCTGATGATTTCAAATTGGTTGGAATTAATGCTGATAAATGAGTATATACATATTTCAATGGGAAGATATTATGGAAAAAGTGACTTTTTAATTGCTTGTGTAGATGTAGTTGGGAGTCGTCTGGAGTTCCTGCCCAGCCATCAAGTGTAAAATTACACAACAAAGGGTTTTTTGGGGGGGTTCCAGGTTAATTTTACTGTACTGTATAGAATATGTTAAATCAATTAATATCATATACACTAATTGTGAAAATTCATGAGTAATTGACAGCCACCAAAAAGAATTGCCTAGAGATGACACAGGATGGTGCTAAAGCACTACTTTTGTCAAAAGGAAGCACAATGTATTTCAGCATAGTTCAGTGATGCCAAGATGCTACACGATGATGGCAAAGTATGACCTTGGTATAAATGAAGCTCTTCAACTCACTTTTAAAAGGAAAGTGAAGTCCAAAAAATTCTCGATAATAGTATGTTCTATGCGTCTGCACTAAGCCAGACAGGGTATTCTGATTAATATTGTGTATGTACATTATGAATGAAGCGGCAAAATCCAGCCATCTTTATCCATCACAGCGGGCGGCCATTGTGCCACTTAACTGTTCACTGAAAATGACATCACAGTGCCTAAGGGCTCACTCAGCTTGCGAAAATCACATGACCAAACCCATAAGACAGGTGAGCCGTGATGGTCTGAGCCCTGAGCGACTGTGATAACATTTTCAGCTGATGGCAAGTGGCAAAAGGGTCGCCACCTGAGATGAATAAAAATGGGTTGATTTTGCTGCATAATTCATAATCCACAAACACAATATTAATCAGAATACAGTGTTTGAACTAGTGGGGGGGTGCATGGAACATGTTAATTTTGACTTCACTTCCCATTTAATAGAGTGCTTCGGCACCAAGCTGCTACAAGATGGTTTCAATGCACCACTTTTATCAAAACCTAGTTCCTCAATAGCAGCAGTAAATCACTACTTTTATCTCAATGAAACTCCTCAACTCACTCCAAAATGGATCCCCAATAGCAGTTTGGCGCAAAATGGCAGTAAAGCACTACCTTTATCTAAATGAAACTCCTCAATTCACCTCAACCTAGCTCCACGGCACTGGAGATGCCTTCTTTGTCTTGAATTGTCAGTGAAAAGTGTTAAGCAAAAAAGCAATCTGTTATTAAAAAAACGTATTTGATTTGAAATGTAGCTTATTGTGTCAAAAATCTACTTCCTTCATGAGACAATATAAAACTCAGAACACAACCTTATCTTCCTTCAATGTGCGTATCTTGGCCTCTAGCTCCTGTAGAATCTTGTCTTGCTCACACAGTCGGCTTAATTTCACCTGGAGACAGAAAAATAAAGAAATAACATACAACACCAATAATAGTAAAAGAAACGAAGGAAAAACATTCAAAGCGATGTCATTTTCACATCTAACAGTGTTAATGTAAAACAGTGACAAGTAAAAGAGAGCTAAGTTGGTCGACTCGTTTGCGCTCACTGTCTGTCGGCAAGATAAAATGAATTAATCTTCTCTGTGTGAATATGTCAAGAAGTATCTCTTCTCCATCTCAAGAAAGATGCTCCCCCCACAGCGCAGCAGAAAAAACATCTCCAAATGTAGCAACGGTCATGGTAAGCAATTGTAATCGAAAAATCCACATCATTTCCAATTCACTTTAGGTCCGAAGTGTGTTTATTGGGAGTGACAGATGTGTTTTCCCGGAAATGGGTTGCGTGTTTATGAAAACAACATAAGCCTGCCAAGTTCACAGTGTCTCTCTCACACTGTGTATTTTTTCTCAAATCTACTTATCATTCCGTTCAATTAATTATTAAGCTGTTTTTATTTTGCTGAGGCCGTATATTGTTGTTTTTAATTGCATGAAATATTCAGCATTCAGACAAATTTCTTATAAATTGTTAAAGTGGAACAATGCTAATGATGAAAAGCCATGACATCCATCCCATTTACCTCCATTCGGCGCGAAACAAAGAGCGCGCGCAGCGGCGGCAGGCAAATCAAACTGAAAAATTTAGCAGCTCGACATCCAAAAGTCCCATTACATGTATTTTTCCCTTTAAATTGCAGCAAGGAAAATAAAAGCCGTGGTCGATACGCTCAGGCCCTCACTGTGCAGTCTGCTTGAGAGTCCCCACTGTGTTGCAGTGTACTTAATGCTCCCCTGCCTCCATTCCCCCTGTTTAAAATAACTTAATAAACACACACAAAGCACACTAAAAGTCGCACTTTTGTCAGTGACTAAGAAGAAGTGGGGGGAAGAAAAGCACATAAACAGCACGGTCCACTTACATCAGCATCACTTTCAGCTATTTTCACCGGCCTCTGTGCTTCTGTTCGGAGACTTTCCCGTCCAGTAACCTGAAATGGCCGCAAACAAAATAGAATATTTAACACCATTATGACCGCACAGTTCGATCTTCTCCTGCTTTCACGCGCCCAGTTAACACATAAATATTTCAGAGAATCTTAACAAACAACAAGCAGGGTGCCTACAAGACAAGTCAGATAGATTTAAAGGAGATCAAATAATGAATCATAGAGGCAGAAAGCACATGAGCTGGAAAAAAACAGAAGTTAGTGCAGAAATTAGAGGCGTAAACATTTGAAAGTAGGCCCCATCAAAGTAATACCAAACACGATTGTGCTATCTCGTATGTGTACTGTATCCAGTGGTGGTCTTGCATCAATTACATTCCCATCATCATTTTTGTTCGTGATAAAAACTGCATTGTCAATTTATTCGCTTCATAAGACAAGTCGTCTTTTGGATGCAGGAGAAGATGTCTGCAATAGTTAGATTGCTACCGTCTTCCCTCCAATTAGCAATTTAACTGACAACAAAATGTCACACAACAATTGAGTAAAACATGCATTGAACTACCATTACGAAATTAGCTACGACTAGTTTCACACGCCGCTAGACATGCTGGGATGCCAATTGTCAAACTGTCTATCATGTTTTCCATGTTTATTGTTGATGTAATTATTTTCCCTGTAGTAGTAGCAGTGATAGTTATATCTGTGTGCGTTTCACGTACACGTGTGTATGGTTGTCATTTTATTTATACCGTAAGGTCTGTATTCTTTTGAGTGACCGCCTTGTTCAATGTAACGGTGCACTTGCACATACACCGAATAAACATAATCAGTTTCAAAATATGTTTCGTCCAATACATTGTTAGACTATGTCAACCCGAAGATCCACATTCACCAAGAAAGTGCAAAATCCCCATAAAAATGCCAATTTTCACTAGCCGTGCCTTTGCGCAATAGAAAACCATATCAGGTGTGTGTGTGTGTGTGTGTGTGTGTGTGTGTGTGTGTGTAGCCTCACATGTTGCACATGCCAGAAACCACCACTGACTGTATAGTTAGTGCACATTTTTGAGAATTTGGCAGGATTTCATGAATATATATTTTTTAATCATAAACTTTTTTTTTCTCAGAGAAAATCACAGGAGGCTCAGGAATAGATGTTGAAATAACAAAATGAATCGGATCAAGAATGTCCTATTAAATTCTCAAGCAATCACAGTGAAAGTTAACTCTGTTCACCACCAAAAATATGCATCGATAGATTTGTCCACCATCCCATCACCAATTCCTTCAAAAGCAAAACAAAAGGCGACAGTACACGCGACAACAAACATTGCTTCAGAGCATGCCCAAAAGTCAAAGTAGCCTTTTTTCTTAATCATCACCTCCCCATCATGTCAATTTTTGACAGGGCATGATTGGCTCAAAGTACCCGGTTGCATAACCCAAATTTCCACCGGATTTGATTCCAAAGCGGTTTGTCTCTGAAACAACACGTTCCTTACATTGCAACAGCATCCAAAAGTTAGAGTGGCGTTTTCAAAGCCGCTGTGAACTGAAACAATCAGCGGCTCATGACTTTGGATCTGTTTTGAAATAGGAAATGAAGAGCATGACAAAAACGCCTGTGAGGTATTCCATGGACTGCCGTCAGTTCCGGATGCACTGTGGTGGATTTCAAGTACAGTGTGTAGAAACTGCTCAGAGATGCTGGCGGGTTTTTACAAAATCAGACGTCTGGATGCAGCATGCCGCAGTAAGCCAAAAAAAAAAAAAAAAAGGAATTTTCATGAAATAGAGCAGAATCAAGTTGTAATGCTATAAAATAAAATCATGTGAGAATAAATCTGTAGATTTGTATGAATACAGTCATCTTTTTCAAGAAATGTCATGATGGAAACGCTGTTGTAACATTTTTCACATCAATAAAGATGAAATGCTGTGAGGATACAATTGTAATATGATGAGAATTCATTTGTAGTTTTAAGAAGAATGTTGTAAAATCCTACCTCGCGGTTTTCACCTTTTGATTCAGTTCAGAGGCCTGACATCACATTTTTGGTTAAAAACACTTTTTGGTTTGATAACATTGGTTAACATATTTTTAAAAATCACGGATGCAAATAAACATATCTCAATTATTTTTTTTTTTATGGTGATTCCAAACTGGCCCTCTTTTTAAAATTTTTGTCACAATAACAATAGTAGAAGTAGTAGTGGTACTAATAATAAGAATAATTATAATTATTATTATTTATTTAGTTATTTATTTTAGCATGGGTCCAAACATGCAGCATTGCATTATAGAAAATAAGGAAGCCAGTGAAGTCACTATGCTGTACTTTTGCCATCACACAAACACACACATTGAATAAAGAAACTGACAAAAATTAAGACATGATAGGCATGCTTTCTAATTCTACAAGAATTCTACGAGAGATGGAGTGGGATGGTAGAACACAAAAGGGAGACAAATAGGAAGAAAAAAAGGAGAGGGTGACATTGGATTTCATGGGGGGCCCACCTTCAGATCGAGATACTCCAGGTCCTTCTTCAGTTGTATGTAAGTATCGTCAGCCTTTAAATGAGCAGTGAAGAGATACATCACTTGAAATGAAGCTGCAAAGCTTTATCGGCTTGAATTGAGTTGCTCTCAATGGACCTTTTCATAATAATAATAATACATTTCATTTAATGTTTGGGTGCTTTTGGCTGGATTGACTGCTGCTGATCTAAAGTGAAAATTTGTTGTGTTTTGGATCAGGCTACCAGATATACCCCTAAAGATTTTGGTTTGTGTCAATTTTTTGAAAAAAAAATTCAAATCTGTTGGTGAGGAAGCTAAATCATGTGGTTGTTGTAAATAAGTGTATAGGAAAGATAACGAGAGATTGCCTTGTAATATAGTAGACACCTCAAAGGCACAGGCTGGGAACCAAACCTCCATCATCACATTTGTGGAAGACATTTTCCACAATTTGTATTTGAAATCTTTGGATGGATTGTCATGGAGTAATTTGGCTAAATAGAAATGGCAAGTCTGCTAGTAGACGTACGTGTGCTTTCCATTTTAGAATCAAAAGTTGAGCCTGTGCCATCAATCCGAGCAACAGAAAAGCCAGTCCCTAACTGAGCATGTTAACTATGACTGAATTTCCACAACATTTATTTTGGAATCACCCTGTTGAAATGTACTCATAAATTACGGTAGCCATTGGAAGAAGGCTAAAATCTCATCGTCCAAGCCATTCGCTGTTTTCATCGTCATTCAACCTCAAAGAGCCTAGCAGGGTTTGTTTGAAATTGATGCCATCGGAGTGTTTGCCATCTGGAAATATGTGTGACATCATCATGAAAAGGTCCATTAGAGTTCACTTTTTTTAAGCCAAATTGAAATCAAGTCATCAAGTATGAGCAGGACAGTGCAGTCACACAGAGCAGGACCAAGAGTGGCGTTGTCTTTGCGCAGCACCACTGCAGCTTCACTCTCTTACACGGCGCAATGATTGCTGAATCAAAATGAGAAACACAGGCATGACTGTACTTTATGCAGCCATTAGTATAAATGCAAGTGGAAACAACAAGCAACATGCTTTCAATGTCAGCTAGTGTGTGTCGAATCTGCACACTGGTTTGTGCAATGAAGTCCAAGGTAACTGACTGCCTATGAATGACTGGGAAGGAATGTTCAGGATCGGCTGGGTCGGGAGAGGGGTGGAGGGGTCACGATGCACCACCGGGGCTGCGATGTTAAGGAGGTTTAAGTAAGTGTGAGACCCCTGACCTGCAAGCTGGGGCCTAGGAGGCCGTTGTGCTGCTGATGTCGCAGATGAGCCAACGCGCCCACACCACCAGCCGCAGAAGCGGCGGGGCTTTGCACGCCAGCCATCTTGGCCTGGTGCCGCCGCAGCTGAATGAGGAGCAGAGTCAGCTCCTCGGGCTGGAGCCACACCCGGGTTTACAACACAGAGGGAGCCAGCAGTTACTAGTGACTTAACATGAGCGGCGGTAATATTGAAAGGGCCCAAAAGGTGGGGACACTTGATAATGTAAACGCTCGGTGGGTCAGCTCAAAGAACAGAGCGGCGCCTAACTTGTCCACCCCTACAATAAGTTAAAAACGCTCAACAACTTGTAGAGAGATGCAGAGTCTAAACTTGTCATTGGTGAATTTAAAAAAAAAAAGCATTGTGTCGTTGAAGGTTCCTGAGGGAGTGTGGCAGAGGGCTCACCAACTGTAGAAAGGTGACATGTGAATGCATGATCGCTGATTTACATCATCTCGGGACCATGTGTCCAATCACAACATTTCCTTAACTTATAGTGAATCAATAAAGTGTAATGGAAGGGGATGCATACCGTTTTGCCATGCAGGCTGGGTGCGCTGACGGTATGTGTGATGTAGCCCATAGCTGGCATCGACCGTCTCGCCATTTGGGAGGTCTGCGGAGGAAGTGAACGCATCCACGTGTTAACCGTAGCTCACATCGTGTTAAATCAAACAGAATGTCTAATTAAAGTTCAAAACGTTGCTCACAAACAAATATGACTACACAGCACTTTTATTTTTCTTCATATTGGAAACAAGGTGTGCCCTGACTTTCCTGACGCCAGAGGGCTTGGAAAAAAAATGTGACGTTTTTGCTTCACGCACAGAATTAGTGAAAAGCAGGCAGGCCCACCATATCTAGCCTTAAAAGGACACAAACAAGAGATTTAATTAACTCCACATAAATTACAGCAAACCTGCTTTCTTAAAATAACATTTGTTTGCTACCAGCAAGAGAAGCACTGTGAGTCTTTCCCTCTGAGATTCCCAAGCCACTATTTTTTGCTGTATAATAGGTTTTTTATTTAAATGCAGGATGAGAAGAAAGAGTGCTGCTGATGTTTGAGATAGAGTAGAGATGTTTCTAGGGTGCTCGCGAGCCCTGGGCACATTGGATTAGATGCTAATAAATCATCTCTCTTCATGATATTCCACTGGGAGCAAACACATCGCGATTACCACAGCCTCCTTAGCCTTAAAGATGCTGGGTGCACCACAACTTAAGTTCAACTGCTTGCCGTTCTCACACACATCCGCTCCCTCGCATGGTCACTGTGGTCGTCTTTGTTTTGAAAATACATTGCCGTTCATCCATATTGTAAAAACGTGCCTATAATTAAGTCTCAAACACTACGGAGGCAGATCACGTGGGTATAAGGGGTCAAATGTGAGGCATGCGTGCGTGCCTGCGTGTGTGTGTGTGTGTGTGTGTGTGTGTGTGTGTGTGTGTGTGTGTGTGTGTGTGTGTGTGTCAGGCAACGTGGCTGGGGATGTTTTTGCAGGGCGTGGATAATGGGTGCGCCTTTTGACTGCAGAAATGTGTGGCTGGAATCACAGAGGAGCTCAGGCTCCAACCACCTGTGGAGTTGACGGTGTAAAACTTTGAACGCACAAATCGGCCTCTTGATGTTTGTCCTGATGTTCATAACGACTTTGATATCCTTGCTATTTACATCTTAAAGGGGGAGTCAAGCCAAAAAATGTCTTTACACCATCCTGAGGACAAGCGGTTTGGATAATGGATGGATGGATAATATGTTCCAATGCAGTCCCACTTGTCTAGACACAGCATTCTGATTAATATTGTCTTTGTGGAATATGCGTTCTGCAAAAAAAATAAAAACGAAACTATGAATAAAATTATTGTGAAATGAGATGAGTAACTTCATGTAGATAAAAGTAGTGCTTTGCTTCCATCTTTGTCCCGATGAATTACATTTATTCAGTGAGGCCTCATTAAGACAAATGGTGCTCTTTGATGCAACATTGTGATAGCTTGATACCAAGGAACGATGTTAAAGTGAGCTGAAGAGCTTCATATGCAGTAGTCAAAAGTAGTGCTTTGTCACCTTCTTAATGCATTTTATACTAAGGGTATATGTTGCATTGAGTCGAGGGGCCATATTTTGGTAGACAGGCGCCTGCACGTAATTTCATTTTGTTGCTGGGGGGAGTCTCTTTAATCGTGTTTGGGACCACATTGCGCCTCACGGCACAGGGAGCTGCTTTAACCCCGAGGTAACTGACAAATTCAGACATAGAATGTAGACTGTGTCTTGATACCAACGAACGATGTTAAAGTGGGCTGAAGAGCTTCATATACAGTAGTCAAAAGTAGTGCTTTGTCACCTTCTTACTGCATTTTATGCTAAGGGTATATGTTGCATTGAGTCGAGGGGCCATATTTTGGTAGACAGGCACCTGCACGTAATTTCATTTTGTTGCTGGGCGGAGTCTATTTAATCGTGTTTGGGACCACATTGCGCCTCATGGCACACGGAGCTGCTTTAACACCGATGTAACTGACAAATTCAGACATAGAATGTAGACTGTGCTCGGCGTAAAATTTCGGGTGGTACAAGTTTAGTTTAGCATGCTTGTAAATTTGGTAGATCGCACTGCATGTCGCTAGGTGTTCTATTAGCACATTTGCCAATTTGGTGAGAAAAAGTAGACGGCATTTTCGACAATCTAAAAACAGGTCTAATCTAAATGGCAGCACATGTGGTGATAACGCAAATTTAGTGTATTTGATCACGAGGCAGGCAGACATATTCGGCACACCGCTGACCTGAGTGATGAATGTCATCGTATTTCAATACTATGGCAATGATTTCTAATCATTATCATCATTAAAATATATTAATAGGACCACCTTGACTGCGTGGCACAACAATTGCATTTTTTTTTTTTTTACGGTAGAAGACAGTGAAATCAGTTGAGTAAAGTTAGAAAAAAACGCACAGAAAACTAAAATACAGTCAATGTGTATTGTTTTTCTATTGTTTTTGTATGTTTTTATGTAACCTTTATACAAAACATTTTGCTTTTCTTCATAAATTAAATTGTCTATCCATCGATTTTCTAAACCGCTTATCCTCACATGAGTCGCGGGCGTGCTGGAGCGGATCTCAGCTGTCTTCGGGCAGACCATTTGAACACATTAAACACACTTGAAATGCACTTGAGTTTTTATTTTATTATCTTAATTGGTGCGGTAGGATACAACCATTTTGTCGTGAACGAAGGGGGGATCGGAGTGGGAGTAAATTTGAAACACATTTTTAGACACACGATGGAGATAAAATTAGGAACATTTATAAGACAATTTTGAATTTAGTCGTGATATTTAGTAATTATTTAATATTGCCAGCAGGTGTGGCACCTGGGGTGGCAAGGCATTGGGTGAAGCAGCTGCCACTTTGGTGCACTTTGGTGCCAAGGAACTACTGAAGTGAGCTGACGTGATTTATTCAAAAAAAGTATTGCTTTGTCACCATCTTGTGGTGTGTGCTTGTGGCATTGTGGTGAGAAATGTAGTGCTTAGAAACCATATTGTGGCATTTCGCTGCCAAGGGACTGTTGAAGGGAGTTAAAGAGTTGCATTAAAAGAAGACAATTGAAAAGAACTGTGTTGAAGTCAGTTGTAGAGCTTCGTGTCGACAAAAGTGAGTGATTCGTAATAACCTTGTGGCATTCGGGTTCCAAGGAACTATGTTGAAGTGGAGCTTTGTGTCGACAAAAGTGAGTGATTCGTATTAACCTTGTGGCATTCGGGTTCCAACGAACTATGTTGAAGTCAGTTGTGGAGCTTCGTGTTGACAAAAATGAGTGATTCGTTATAACCTTGTGGCATTCGGGGTCCAAGGAACTATGTTGAAGTGAGTTGGGGAGTTTCGTTTGGATAAAATGTATTTGCCAGCAGCTTGTGGAATTAAGAGGCAATAGCAAATCTTTTAGAAGTCGTGTCAGCTACTTATAGATTTTCTTAATACACGGTGGGGCTTGGGCACACAAACACCCCATCCCCCCCCCCCACCCCCCCAAAAAAAACCTCAAATGAAGTCCCCCTCGGTGAGCAGGGTGCTACTTGGTGTTGTCCACACTTGACAAAGCATCAAGCGGCATGACTGTCCGTCTGCCCGAAGGTGTGTGTGGCCTACGGGGGGACAGCGGCTTGAAGGGCGGTGAGATGGATGGCGGGACCTCACAAGGGGACGGCGGCACAGAGATGGAGCGGGGCATCTCCACAGTGACTGTGAAAGATGAGGAGTCAGTGAAGTTGGGCCCAGTGTACACGGGTGCCGTGGGACTGCCGTGTCGAAACTGTTGCCTCTGCTGCCACTCATACAGCTGCCACACCATCCCCTCCTTTGTGGCCATGCGCTCGTCCGTGGACATGCGGAAGTGGCTCAGTCGGTCGTGGGCATACTTGTAGTCGCTAGGCAGGTTGAAGGAGGGAGAGTTGCTGCTGGACGGGAGGCAAGGGGACTTTGGCAGTGACTGGCAGGACGTGTCTGCTGTGCTGACTTTGGGCTGTAAGAGGGGAGTTCGCCGAGGGAGGTTGTGCTCGGCAGAGGCAACGCTGACAGAAACAAATGACAAACGATTAGTTCAACTACAGCTCAAGGGCAGGCCGCTTCAGCATTTATTCGTCATCCTTGATAGCTAGCTTAAGGTCCATATACTCGTTCACTCTTCGTCCTCACTAGAAAGACAATTCGACGCACTAGTAGAACAACTGTAATACAAGTAAGATTCTTTTCCACTAGAGCATCACATTTCTGCACACAAGTAGGACAACTGTGGCAAACTAGTAGGTAGCACGGTTGTTTCCCAACCCAGAGGTTGGTGGTTCATGTCGAAGTGTCCTTGAGCAAGATACTAAATCCCCAGTTGCTCCTGATGCTGCGTCAACAGTAGGTGAATGAGGTTAAAAATGTAAAGCGCTTTGAGTACTCGAGGTAGAAAAGTGCTGTAAGAGACAGCCTGTTTACCAATAGTGATTTATTTTCCCATCGTAATTACTGGAATTGCCATTTGCATTTTTTTCAAGGGCATCTTCCTCTGCAATAAATTATACTCTATTTTAATTTAAAAAATCGGATTTATTTTACATAAACGTTGTGGCCTTCTAGGGTAGTCTTATGCTAAAATAAAGACAAATGAATCAATACAATTTTGAATTTAGTCGTGATATTTAGTAATTATTTAATATTGCCAGCAGGTGTGGCACCTGGGGTGGCAAGGCATTGGGTGAAGCAGCTGCCACTTTGGTGCCAAGGAACTACTGAAGTGAGCTGACGTGATTTATTCAAAAAAAGTATTACTTTGTCACCATCTTGTGGCATTGTGGTGAGAAATGTAGTGCTTAGAAACCATATTGTGGCATTTCGCTGCCAAGGGACTGTTGAAGGGAGTTGAAGAGTTGCATTAAAAAAAAGACAATTGAAAAGAACTGTGTTGAAGTCAGTTGTAGAGCTTCGTGTCGACAAAAGTGAGTGATTCGTAATAACCTTGTGGCATTCGGGTTCCAAGGAACTATGAGTTGTGGAGCTTCGTGTTGACAAAAATGAGTGATTCGTTATAACCTTGTGGCATTCGGGGTCCAAGGAACTATGTTGAAGTGAGTTGGGGAGTTTCGTTTGGATAAAATGTATTTGCCACCAGCTTGTGGAATTTAGAGGCAATAACAAATCTTTTAGAAGTCGTGTCAGCTACTTATGGATTTTCTTAATACACGGTGGGGCTTGGGCACACGAACACCCCATCCTCACCCCCCCCCCCCAATAAAAAGCTCAACAAACCTGTGAGAGGCGAGTAAAGATGTGGCCCGGGGAGGTTGCTCCAGTGTTGTCCACACTTGACAAATCATCAAGCGGCATGACTGTCCGTCTGCCCGAAGGTGTGTGTGGCCTACGGGGGGACAGCGGCTTGAAGGGCGGTGAGATGGATGGCGGGACCTCACAAGGGGACGGCGGCACAGAGATGGAGCGGGGCATCTCCACAGTGACTGTGAAAGATGAGGAGTCAGTGAAGTTGGGCCCAGTGTACACGGGTGCCGTGGGACTGCCGTGTCGAAACTGTTGCCTCTGCTGCCACTCATACAGCTGCCACACCATCCCCTCCTTTGTGGCCATGCGCTCGTCCGTGGACATGCGGAAGTGGCTCAGTCGGTCGTGGGCATACTTGTAGTCGCTAGGCAGGTTGAAGGAGGGAGAGTTGCTGCTGGACGGGAGGCAAGGGGACTTTGGCAGTGACTGGCAGGACGTGTCTGCTGTGCTGACTTTGGGCTGTAAGAGGGGAGTTCGCCGAGGGAGGTTGTGCTCGGCAGAGGCAACGCTGACAGAAACAAATGACAAACGATTAGTTCAACTACAGCTCAAGGGCAGGCCGCTTCAGCATTTATTCGTCATCCTTGATAGCTAGCTTAAGGTCCATATACTCGTTCACTCTTCGTCCTCACTAGAAAGACAATTCGACGCACTAGTAGAACAACTGTAATACAAGTAAGATTCTTTTCCACTAGAGCATCACATTTCTGCACACAAGTAGGACAACTGTGGCAAACTAGTAGGTAGCACGGTTGTTTCCCAACCCAGAGGTTGGTGGTTCATGTCGAAGTGTCCTTGAGCAAGATACTAAATCCCCAGTTGCTCCTGATGCTGCGTCAACAGTAGGTGAATGAGGTTAAAAATGTAAAGCGCTTTGAGTACTCGAGGTAGAAAAGTGCTGTAAGAGACAGCCTGTTTACCAATAGTGATTTATTTTCCCATCGTAATTACTGGAATTGCCATTTGCATTTTTTTCAAGGGCATCTTCCTCTGCAATAAATTATACTCTATTTTAATTTAAAAAATCGGATTTATTTTACATAAACGTTGTGGCCTTCTAGGGTAGTCTTATGCTAAAATAAAGACAAATGAATCATGAATTAATATGAAAGACCGTATGTTTACCCGTTGTACTTCAATCAGGGTTGTAAACTTACTAAACACTGTAGTCTGGATGTCATGTTGGCCACTAGAGGGCATTATTTAGCTATGTTTCAGTCCTGCTGCTGACTGAGTGGAATCAACTTTGATTCAAATTAACGATGAAGACTGCCACTGACCTCTTTGGCGGGTCACCCTTTTGAACTTTAACCCAGTGCTCCACTTGAGCCAGCGTACTCTTCCTTTGTGCATGTTTCTCTGTGTCAGCCCCTCGCTGATACAAGAGGTTTCCATTGTGCTGTTCCGATGGCAAAGGCCCTGGCTGGACACTCAGGTGGCCGTTCCTTAATGGGCCAACATCCACGGAGTTTGGAGAGAGTCTCTCCCTTGGATCCGACAACCTGGGCCTTCCTTGGACCTCCAACGTGTACCTCCCTTCTTCTCCGAGAGCCAGTCGTACACCATCACTACTGGGGTGCTCTCTGTCCGTTCTTGGAAATGTTTCTGACTGAGGTGTGGTCTGCTTGACATGGTTGGTCTGCGCAAGCGCCTGCTGTATGCTTTTCTCCGGCCTCTCTATTTCTCTGAAAGGAGGTGCAGAAATTGTCATTCAAGAATAAGAATGTACTTTGGCTGAACATTCATTTTCAAGCGCACCCATCGTGAAGTTGCAACAAAAAGATGTTTTCTTTTTTTGTATGATATTTCACAATGACAGTGCTGCTCAGCATCCATCCAACATCCAAATGTAGACATAACATGACGGACATTATGGTATATAAGTGTAACTATTTATTTTGCTACGAAGCACTACTTTATTTGATCCTCCTTGAAGAAACACAAAACAGCAATTTCAGGGACACGTGTAAAATATGCAAGGTAATTATGAAAATAAAACATAGATGATCAAACTGACTTTTTTGGTCAATACAATCAGCTAATAATTGATTTTGTATCATTTAAGCACATTGCACCAGTTTTAAAATTGCTGCATTGGTTCCATGTGGTTTTTCTGCTGTAAATTGGGAATTTCTCCATTGTGAGACAAATAAAGGTTTTCTTATCTTTGTTTGGCTTTTAAACTATTTCTTTTGATCTTTTAATTTAGGCCTATTTTTATCTAATCTTTCTGTTTTTAGTTCTTAGCTTCTTATTTTGTTTTGTCTTTTAGCTTTGTTTTTTTTGTTTTTTTAAGTTTTTATCTTGCTTATTCTTTTTTTTTTTTTGTATCTTCGAGCTCCAGTGTTTCATCATGGGGACTCTCTGTAGTGGTGGCGCTCCCTGTGGCCTTGGGCTGTCATTCCTCTCAGCGTGAATTTTTCCTCATATGGTTTCTCTGTACCTTGCCATGTTTTTTTTAACTGGTTCAGGTTCTGTGTGTGCGTATGTGTGTGTGTGTGTGTGTGTGTGTGTGTGTGTGTGTGTGTGTGTGTGTGTGTGTGTGTGTGTGTGTGTGTGTGTGTGTGTGTGTGTGTGTGTGTGTGTGTGTGTGTGTGTGTGTGTGTGTTTGTGCGCGCGCGCGAGCACATGGCGTGCTTATGGGGATATACTTTATGTCTTTGTGTATGTTAGAATGGAGGGGGAAGGTCTTTTTATGTTACATTTTGGATGGTTTTATAGCACAGCACTTTGGATTTCTATGTATGAAAAGTGATGTGTGAAAAGTGCTATATAAATAAAATTTGACTGATTGATTAATACATACAGGGACAATTGACATTGTTTTGAGGTGCAAGAAGACCAACGACAGAAGCACCTGTCTTCACTGGGGCTTATGTCCAGCTGGCAAAGGGCTTCAGTCCTTATTTAGATGCACCTCAGAAATGATCATGGCCCTGAACAGATGGCCAGAGCCTGACCTGCTAAAATGAAGCCTCAGAAGACAAGCTGACTATAGATCATATACTTTGGTCATGCAAATGTAAGTAGAACTTGTATCGAAATGGTGCATCCAGTTTCTTTTTTTATTTTTTAAACGACACCAGTTCATTTCACACAGATTGCCATGCTTTATGAAGGGGGCAGGACTTTAGTTATACAGATGGAAGCCCATCCAGTGGGAGGGGAGAGACCTATCCCGTGAGACGAAACCAACCTCTTAATGGTGTGAGTCTGCTGCATCAGCGCCGCCTGGTTCATGGCCCGTATCCAGCCGTTCATGTCCTCCTGTGTGTCTGCGCTGAAGAAATACGTCCGCATCCCGCAGTGTTCCGCCTGTGAGCCAATCACAGAGTTCTTATTGTAGATGTAGGAGCGCATTCCCGTGTGGCTCGCCTGTCAGAGGGAGACAAAGTGAATGTAGATGTGAGCACTAAAACGAAACAGTGACAGATGTCAACTAAAGAATAAAAAGTCATAAAAAGTCAAATAAAAAAGTCAAATAATCACACGTGTGCGGGGGGGGGGGGGGGGGGGGGGGGGGGGGGTGGAGTGGTACATTATAAACAAAAGCTTTATTCAGTTTATGACAACTAGCTACCAATCACACAGCGTGAGATACAATTAGTTATGGGATATTTGCAAATTACTACTGTAAATACTGGATTGTCCTTGTAGTTTTTCATTATAATCAAGAGAAATAAATCTGCATAACTGTCCATACTAAAACAACTCATCTCCTAATTTTACCCATCCTATCCATACAACTAATGGTAAACCAAAGCATCACTGCCTAAGTGAAGTTCCATTGTATTCAACTTACAATACACTTGTCCTCACAATTGTTTTTAAATTTATCTAGGGTAAAATATTTTAATATTTTTTGTTCGACTTGTCTGTGAAATAATTTGAAGTGTATCATTTTAATTGAATCATTATTTCAGTACAGTTTTCCCATGTATCTAAACACCGTGTTAATGTTCAAATTAGCGTTCTGTCATCGTGACTGACAATATTATTAAATATATTTTTTAGCAATAACACTTCCATCTATTTCAATGTTGGTCGAGATCATGGGGAATGGAGAGTTAAGTATTTTTGTGGTGTTAGTTTTGTATGACAAACATTTAATCATGCTGATTTATCATTATTCACAAAATGACACCAGGTCATTTGCACCATCAACATAAAAAGACATCTGCTGACATTTTCAAGAAAAAGCCCCATATGATCAGAGCGCATCAAATTATTGTCATCGTCATTTATGCATCTTAATATTAAGAAATCAGCAAATGTTTGAGAAAATTAGATGCAAATTTTAGCAATAGAATTCTGAGTTGGATCATCTGCACCCACAAAAACAGATGTACAGTCAAACCTCGTTTCAACATCGCCCATTTACAATGTTTTCACCCCTTCAATATTCACATTTCAAAGTCCTGATTTCACCTAATTCATTTTCCATTTGCTGATTTTGCTTTCAACGAACATCTTTATATCGTAAACTTCATGAGGCCCACCAGATTTTTCCCACAAAATAGTGAAAAGGCCTTCGAGGTACTGTATGTTCTAACGAGGTTCGACTGTACGATGAAGTTCAACCATCAGTGTAAAGGCTGTAAAGCTTTTGACTGGTAGAATGAATCCCATATTGTCTTAATATCGTTTTGCATTTGAAAATACACATAAAACCTAATGAGGCAATTTCACAATTCTGTTATAAAAACAGCTCTGAGTTATAATGTGAGAGATACACTGCAATAAAATGCACTGACTAGTTGCTATATCCTGAAGCTCATTCAGACTACAGACTACAAGCTATTCATGGAGACAAGTATTAACAATACTTGGGGAAAAAAAAATGTAGAATGTGAACTGTGTCTTTTCCAGAGGTGGCAAATGTACTCACATTCTATATTTAAAAGTGCATAGAAGTAAAGATACTTCTGTAAAAATAAAAATAAAAAAGATTTTGGTAAACGTAAAACAACTGAATTCGGGATGGAAATATTGGGATTAAAGTGTAAAGAAATTAAAAAAATTAATACACAAAAGTCACGAGTAAATAATCTATTTAGAGCAGGGGTCGGCAACCCAAAATGATGAAGGAGCCATATTGGACATAAAAAACAAAAAACAAATATGTTCGGAGCCGCAAAAAAAAACAAAAGCCTTCTATAAGCCTTGTAATGAAGGCAACATATGCTGTTAGTATCTACAGTATATTAGCCTACTATCAAAATGACTAAGTTGGCTACAAATACTATATTTTTCCCTGCACTGCATCCTGTAGAGCAGAGGTGCCCAACCTTTTTTGACTTTTCGATCAACCAACCTCCCGCGATCGACCCGTTACCGCACACGCACACATACGCACGCACTTACACACACATGCCTACATACCTTCGTCGAGACCAGACTCGGACTTTTGCAGCGTGTTAACTACGTAGCTCACGTGTACCGTTTTAAAATGCTTCAATCGTTCCTCCAGATTCCCATTCTTTGCCAGTACCCTCTGTGAATTGTATATGAAAGGCCGTTTTTTTTTTTTTGTTTGTTTGTTTTTTTACAACAGCCGCCTGCCTGGCATCCCGCCTTGCTAATTGAAACGTGTGTTTAGAGTAACACTCTGAATGTCAAGAATGTATTAAGTGGTTCATTATAATCAAAACATTCATTGCCAAGAATGAGTTCTTTTTTTTTTTTTTTTTTTTTTTTTTAAAACGGAGGCGCAGAGAAGGGGTTTTGGATTGTGCTCCCCATTGAATTCCAAGCACTCGAGGAATGGTAATGAGCCAAAACCGCCAGTAGAGGTTAGTGATGCGCCATTTTAGATGTAAAATCACCTGTTTCCTAGCTGTGTGACCATTTTTCAGTTACTTGAGGATCATTAATGATGTGATGGCTTCATAATATTTCTTAATATTTCTTATAAAATAATATTTCTTTTCTTTTCTCTTCTTTCTACCCACAATCTTGCTGCTGAAGGCTGTAAATTTCCCCAGTGTGGGACAAATAAAGGATATCTAATCTAATCTAATCTAATCTAAATCAGCCAGAGAGCACATAGAGGAAGAAACTATTTTTGCCTGTAAAATTGAATTATCTTTATTCACTTAAGTGTTTTACAAGATATATGGTTTATTTGTATCGAAAGGTTTGACAGTATGTAATCAAATGTATCACTAGTAACGACACTTATTTTTCTGACACCGTCCCTACTCACTCTGCCCACCATCACATTTTTAACTAACTTTACGGCCAATGTCAAATGTCATTTTTAGTGGGGGGGGGGGTTGTTTGTTAGTTTGTTTTTGGTCATGTTTTGCTCTTGAAAACCATTCCTAAATGTTGTTTACCTGCTTTGTAGAATGAAACCACTGTTTTTGGTGTCACAAAAGAAAAAAAATACTTGCACCAAAGCCTCTGTTCTGCTTTATTTATTTGCTGTCTCAAAAAGTTGTTCTTTTACCCCGGATTATGTGAGGAGCTGCTCAGTTTTGTAAAATTTAGCTGTGTTCTTCTGCTGGTTAGTAGAGAAAGATAAAAGGTAGAATCCACAATCTTCTTTCCCTTTGGAAAGAAGACAGTCTATTCTTTCATTTGGTAGGTTCAATGTGTAACTGAGGATAGAACATAATCTTCTGTGGCTCTTGAAACATCAGTTAAAATACTCAAAAATGGCTGGCGCTCTAGGGGTCGTCTTTTGTTAAAATGGATGGTACTGACTGAGTTTAGGACAGTGACAAATATTTGTACTTCCCACCACTGGTCTTTTCCATGATGACAATGACAACATGATGGCTGATAAAGAGCATGACAGGACAAATACCAGAGCCGATGGGAGTACTATTTGTTGGTGCTGGCTAGCCAACCCAATTAGACATTTGTTGCTATGCATGGTAACAAAACCAGAATTGCAAGCACAAACCGATTTTGACATCAAATCATTAGCATATTTGGTCAATTGTGCAAACACTGTGCATGTCACTCCGGCACTGACACTGCAGTTTCCTGCTGATTCAATTTCCCTAAGTGCAGCTCCAATATCAAATGTGTCACCATCCAAATAAGGCAAAAACAATTTGTTAAAATTAAGAGCACCTCAAAGGGCTCTGGTATCGATCCACCATATGTTGCTGGTTCATGAATGAAAACACGGTACCAATGCACATTTAGGAATGCACATTGTACACCAGGAAGAGTGAGGTGACATTGACGATGATGATCACTGGTGATGATGTAAGTGAAATCAAATACCTACAAGTATTCATGCAAGACAGGAAGCTTGTGCGAGTCAGGACGGCCGCTTGCAGAGAGAACAGTACTCACGCCGCCCAAGCACACACACCCGGTCACAATGGAAGGCAATTGACCAACAGGAAATGAGAGAGACATATTGAGATGGGTTAAAAAAAAAAAAAGAAAAATAAAGAAGAACAAGAAGATCAGAGCAGGAGACATGAAGAACAACAAATGGCTCAGACTATAAACTTGCCTTGACAGGTCATTACAGGGAACATGGTCAGTCAGTATATGTTTACCGATGTCATCAAAACAAAAGTGACCATATTATCTAAAAGTAATACTAGAAATACAGTACATGGTTGTTGATGACCCATTTTTTTTAAATTTCCTCATGCAATCCAATAACCCAAGTGGATGAAAGCAAGTTTGCCCTTTAGAACACAAGCGAGTTGATGTTCAATTTCAGAGAGCTTGGATGTGCAAAGCAGTTTTTAGGTTTGTTTTCAAGTCTGTATCGACCATGTGTCGCCAATGTGGTCCACTTGAGTAGCCCTCGAGAGTATTCTAAAAATAGCTCATTAGGAGATGACTTGCCCTGAAATAATTTGAGCACATTTGTTACTTCTGAAGTGCTAATCAAACTGGTAGCCCTTCACATTAATCAGTACTCCAGAAGTAGCTCTCAGTTGCAAAAAAAAAGCCTCAAAACCCTGGTGTTGACCATTTCATATTTGTAAATAATAGGCACCATGATACTTTCAGGGGACAGGAAAGGGTTTGACTGCCGCTGAACTGAAAAAAAAACCCCGACAAAATGTGTTGTTTAGTGTAGCTCTGCCAGAAATTTGCTCAGTTATTTTTTTTTCCTTGGGTAAGACTGATTTTAAAACAACAAAATGGCAAAAACACCAAAACAACTGACATAAAACGTTTTTCTACACATTTTTTGACGACATCATGTTACTTATTTTTGCATTTTCAAGACATTGACCACGCTATAAATTTACTGGCAGAGCCATGGTGTCCCTTTTAAAAAACCTTGAATTAATATTTCAGCTATTGCTTGTGTTAAAAAAAAAAAACTTGACAAATAAATGTTCCAACAGCTTTATGAAACAATATGCGGTCACCTTCAGGGGGTCCACTGCAGTTGCTTAAACATTTTGAACATTCCGGTAAATTACACTTTCATCAGCCACTTCCCACACACAAAACATACCAAATATGAATATATGAACGTTGTAAACTGTTACCCATTTTTGTGACAAAATCACAAGGTGGATGAACGGTCTTAACAAAGATGATTGCAATGATAAGACATTACTTCTAGTTATTGTCTCCATTCAACATTTACTATCCAAGTTATTGCAGTCCAACACAGGCATGTACAGGTGAGTTGTTGTCAGCTCATGAATTATACCACATGAAACGGACAATTTCTCACAGGTGTGAAAAAAAGTTAAGAAGCTCTTTCCACTCCTCTCTGCATATAAGCCACAGTTACTTGCAAGCTGCAAGCACAACCCATCATTTATATGCCCAGCTGCACAATTAACTTACATTGCAGTATGACATTTAAAGGCATATGCGACTCCTTCAGAAGTTTACGGGCATATACTGTACATGTAAATCCAACAACAAGAAGTACAAGTAGATTCTAGGATCCTGGGTGATTGCAACAGAATTCCCACCAGCTGCAGCGCTACATCAAATATTCAAGCACTATATTTCCACAGATGGCGGACTACAGTATAGAACATTGTCACTGGGGCGGAAATAAATGAATGCATTTCCCGCCCTCTGGGAGAATTCACAGAAGGAAATGTGCATTTAAATGTTATCCTTTGGAGCCACCTGTTCAAACTTGACCACTGTTTGCTGTAGTATTACTGCTAGTTACACTTATGTAGCCAGTGGGATCGCTGCAAAATCGGGAGGGATTTTGCCCAAGTTCACAATAACTGCATTGTTATATTTTTAGCACAATGAATGAAAATGAAACCCAAAAGCTTTTGGTAACTCCCCCCGCCAACCATCAGTCTATAAATCAGATCATAGAAAAGTCTGTCGTGCTTGACGTACTGTACATATGCTAATTCATGCAGGAATCGTGCCTGGAATACGTAAAAGATTCACTGCAGCAGAGGCAGCCATCACTGGGGGTTATTAAAAAAAGGTTAACAACCAGACCTCGGCCATCTGGAAGAACTCCTCAGAGCTCGTTCACTGATGTGCTGGCAAAATAATTCTTGCAGAATGTAAACATACTGTAGTTAGTAGAAAGGGTTGACTGTTGGATCATTTCTTTTTTGACATTCAGCACCATCGAAAGCAATGACGCTCTGTTTTAATAGATTTATGGTCCCCAACCATTGCAAATATTGAGGACTCACTATTCCACTTTTTAGTTTTAGACGTTGTAGGTTCACCTCTATCAGGTGTACTGTTCAATAATGCTGTATAATACTGTGCAATGTTTAAGATTTATTATTCAGTTATCCCGGGGCATTTGCCTTCAAATCACTACAAAAATAATTTTTAAAAAACTGCAAGGTACATTTGGGAAAAGTCAGTCTTGCCATTAGAAGATAACTTTGACTTAACATCCAGCTGATTGCCATTTTCCCTCCTTGTTGACTTATTGATGTGGGCTGGTCTTGAAAGCCGTTTGATATATCAACCTAAAGTTGCATATCAAGCATTCTGACTAAATGCTCAACGATATCGATGCTCAAACGGCTTTCCATATTTGTTAGCCTCTAGCTTCTCATTACCTTACTATACATGAATTACGTTTTATCAAGGAATCCATATTAAATGGCTCAATTACTTTTGTAGCTCAAACAACAGATGATGAAAGGGTGTATCATGGGCCCGAAACTAATTATGTGTGTTCATCATCTTGTCACCAATAAAGGAATATTGCTACCTTGAAAGCATATTTGCGGTTGACATGGTCCTCAGGTGCAACTGGTGCAATGAGATAGCTGGGCAGAGGAATGCTACCAAGGACCGTCTCTTCGCGGCTGTCTAAAGCAACGACAATAACAAACACACACAAGCATGTAATTGCACCCAAAACTCTGAGTCCTGCCAAGATGTTTTATGATGTTTACAAGACATTTGATAGTTCCGAGTAGCGGGGAAGTGTGCAATAATTTGCGGGTGACAACTGTATGAGCGAGGCCATGTGGTACTCAGAGGCCTTTGGTTGATCTATTAATAGAGGAATGGTGCACCACGTCATGATAATCTCCACCCAATCTCAATGAGGGAACAATCGAGTTAAATGGTGTCTTTTTTTTTTTCTATCCTTGCATTACCGGTAATTCTTCGGCTTTTGAATAAATGTTTCAACTCATAAATGTGTTTTCAAAGAAATCAAGTTATTCGGATTCCAGATTCCATCATAATCAAATGAACCTCGGTTGAACCACAAGAAGAAAGGTAAGAGAAAAACACAGATATCAAATAAAATTCTTGACAGGTTACAATAAAAACAGGTGACAAACAATATTAGCCCTTTTACGACACCATGAAGGACGCAAAGTTAGACAGGATTGGTCAAATATGGTCAGCCAATGAATGTTTATTCCGCGCGGGAAAGAGCCATGCCAAGAGTATTCGGAAACTGAAAATAGTGTGTAACCGAGTTGTTTGTAAATGAGGCCATTGAAAAACTGAGGTTTCATTGTATAGAAAAAAAAAACGTTATTGGAAAAATTAGCTTCCCTTACAAACAGATGTACTCTTAACATCACAAATCGTTTCGATGTATTTTCTTGAACCTTGGACAATTGCATCACTCACGCTCACCTTTGTAGTAAAACAAGCAGAAGTCGGACAAAACAAACCACTTTCGTTTCCAGAGTCGCATTCCAGAGCTGTCCTGAAAGTTCATAGTAAAACGCACGTGTGGTTAGGAACACAATAAAATAACAGTTTCATTGGCATTCAAATGATGAAACGTCACGTCATGTCATTTCCGACACCGCTTATCTTGAGCAAGGTCGCGGACACATGCTGGAGCCTATCTCAGCAGACTTCGGGGGAAAGACGTACTACACACTGAACTGGTCACCAGTCAGTCACCCACGCTGGCTGGAAACGATATGGCTTCACTCTTTCGGGATTAACGTTATCCATTTGGTGTAGCTGTGCGTGTATATCATTATGCATTCTAGTCCAAGGTTTGCATACATGTGACGGTTGTCTCTACGTGTCCAGCTATATTATTATTTTTTAATCGTTTTTGAAGTTATCAACTACACATGAAAAATAATGAAATTATCAAATTAATTCTCGGCAAAACATTTACTTTTTTTCTGCTGCAAGTGGCATACATACCTGAAGTATCCCTTTTAAATTTTAAGCAAAATGCATTTGCATTTACTCTAATAGCTGTTAGTTTTTCAAATATTTAAGTATGTTTTTTTTTTATTTCGCTTTTATGTGCAGTACATTTTAACAGTTTTTTTTTCTTTGCCTATTTTCAAGCACAGGTGTTTGTGTTCAAACTGTGTTTAAAATGACAGTGTCCTGCAATGGAGTAGATGCACTTTTTAAGGATAAAACCTCATCCTCGTTTTTGACGAACACTTGGGCCTACCATGCTATTACACTACATAAGGTTGGTGATAATTATGTTACTTGGAGAGGGTTTTTTTGGGGGTGGTACATTGGGTATCAAAGGTTTTAGAACCACTCTTCCAAATAATTAGCTTTAGTATTTAATATTGCAAACATTTTGTTGATGTAGATGCAACATTTGTACATACTGTTGGCCTTCAGGCAGTCATTCAAAAAGGTTTGGCAAGGCTTTCGGAGACCCCTAAGTCAACGTGTGTGTGACAGAAACCCATAAACAGCAAACATTTGTAAATTATGCCTGTGGCGTTAAAGGTTGATCCCGCCATAATTCACCAGGTTGACTTTAATATAGTCACAAATGATCGTGTTCACACTTATTAAAAACCAAAATTTGCTACAAACGTGATCAGTCACCTGTTTATAGAGCCAGCCCCTCACCACCACCGGGATGTTGAGGTTTCGTTTAATGGCTTGATCCCTCTTGCCAAAACTATGACATTTACTCGAACCTCTTGATCCCTGCAAGGACACAAGGGTGAACTAAGTTGTTTTGCCTACATTAAAACAAACGCAAACAAAGAAACATTAGTGTGCTTACCTGTTGGAGAGATGTATTTACCTTCAATTAGTCAAAACGATGGCAAAAAAAAGGGTCATGACCTTACGACAAGATGTGAAAATACAGAACCAACCAAAGATGCTTATAATAATGTTATAAACATACAAGGTCATTCTCAAGTGTGTAATACTGTGTAACTATTTTTCACAAGTACTCTTTCTGCAGAGATACCTGCTGTCCACTTGAAAGGCTCACTAAAAGGAGATGTATTTTTTTGTACGTGTTGAAAAATTGATATGTATTAAAGTGACACAACCTTGAACTGATTTACAAATAAATCTGAATGAAAAAATGTAAACTATGTCAATAGCAATGTGTGTGCATTGTGTCTGACCTTGACCAGCTGTGGAGGGATTACAATTTGTCCTATATTTAATTAGCTAATAATGTTTATTTTACCTTAGACGGGCAGTTGTGTTAGAGAGTACTATTCAGTGGACAAATTACAGTAGTCTTTTTTTTCTAAGTGTGAAATGATGCCAAACTTTGGGCATTTTATGTCTTTTATGCAGTCTTTCCTCCTGGCTCGCACTTATTGCTGCGGGAGCCTGCAGTAACATTTGTCTATGTGACAAAAATGACAACTGCAAAATCTCAAATTTAAAATGAAGATTTTACACATCTGCGCTGCAGCAAGACCACAAAAAGTGAGAGACAACTTGAACACATACTCATCCTTTTTTATGGTGTGACTTTTGTGACATGAAAAAAAAAAATCTACAAGTTTTGCCTTTTGCTAAGTTGCAATCCAGTTTTAACATGAACATATTGACTAAATTATTACACATTGTGGTCATTAATCAGAATGAAGACAGTGTCATCTCGAGCTGACTAAACCACTTTATCAACATTAGTGTTTCTTGTCAAACACAGTCGAGAAAATAATTAAAAAGCGGCAAATGGTAAAGAGTTACTTTTTGGGACAAATCTTCTCACCTTTGACGCCGAAGTGGAATCCATTGCTGCTGTGGTCACATTCTTGGAGGACTCTGTGACCATTCTGGGTGATCGGTGATTGGACATGCGGGACTCGATCCTACGGTAGACAAAAGTCAGCATGTGAGCACAGCTGCACTCTGATGTTCATTCTCACTTCCAGTGGTAGAAATATAATACTATCACTGGACTTAAGTATGTTATTCCACGATCTGTACTTTACTTACATTTTTTAGTTTTACTTTACTCCCTCCATGTGAAAACAACTGTACTTTCTACTATTTAAATACTGAGCTATTGGAAAGAGTCACAAAAGGGTGTTGACCCCTTTGTAAATAGTTTATTATATCTTATCATTGGACAACGCAGAAGAAATCACACTTTGCTATAATGCAGTCAGTGCACATCTTGTACATCAATGTCTGGAAACACACAGCCGCACGCACGATCAAGAGTGCAAAGGAGATGCTTCAATTGTTAGGTGTTGGCTGTGCAAAAGACACGCAATATATTGAAAGAAAGACAACTTCAGCCATGCGCTCATTGAGACTGCGCATTGTGGTTGCCTTGCGCTGAACATGAAAATAGGGCCTTCTATGTTGAGTGTTTGAGGTGACAATAAATTTACACTGTGTCCAGCTGTATACTGTTTAGATTACATTTAAAATTGTTTTTCCTTACCTAAGTACCTGAGCTTAATCAGTACTTCTACTTTTACCAAAGTTCTTTTTTTAAGGATCTGTCCCTCCACTTAAGCACAGACTGCAAGGACTTTTGCCACCTCTGCTCATTTCCTCTGACCTAGTGAACCGAAACACAGATTTCTGGTTAAAACAGATGTGACAATTTTCTGGAATTAGCAACACCGTCTGTCCCGACACCAGTGACACTTGTGCTGTCACACAGAGTCCAGAGAGGACAATGGACATGCAGCAAGATTAACATCAGAAGGATTCAGCAAAATTAATTTTCAGTAGGCTCAGTAAACAATGTCTGGTAAAAAACAAACAGAACAGTCTTCAGAAAGAAAATATATCATACATTGCGTTACAATTCAAAGTATCTCCTAACAAGAGAAGCAGCTTTTTTTGGGTTTTTTTTGGTTTTTTTAATCCGATGCTTGTGGAGGCTCTCAGTCGTACAGGAAAGTTCCATCGTAGAAAGGGTTCCCTCAGTCGTCATCTGTACTTGTGGGTAAAAAACAAAAAAACAAAAAACAAAAAAAAGGACGTTTCGCTTCTCTCACAGAAGCTTCGTCAGACAACTCTGAAGTCTCCGTGAAGACTCCGGGAAATTGCTCTGCGCTAAAAGGCTGAGCGTGGCCTATTTGAGGACTGGGTGGGGATGGTTAGTCACGCCCCTATGGTGAAGAGGCCCATTGATTTCTAAATTTTTAATCCGATATTCAGATTGAGCCGTTAAACTGCATTTTCAAATACCGGCCCCTGTTTTGCGGACATATTATTGATTTGTGGTGGTGTTTGCATGACATTGTCCCATGCCTTATTGATTTCTTACAACAGTGGTCTTATCATGCGCATTGATTATGCAAATGGCAATGTATTTTGACACAAACACACTCGCGTTAAGATTAAATAGATACTTAGGAGTTGAAGCTGTGACAGCTTCAACACTGATGCAGTAGCTGTCACATAATACTGCATCAGTGTTTTTGAAAGAGAAAGTCACAGTTGTGACTGACATGCAACTGCGGGCCACATTTACTCAATAAAAATACATAGACATAAAATCAATATGAAATGAGAAATATCAACATGGAAATGTATCATATGGGTCACAGTGTCGATACTAGAGAAGGGCATGTTACTTGATGAAGTCTTGGGAATTGATTGATTGATTGTGCGAAACTGATTTTGGATTCATTTGACCTAAGAGATTAAGGCTGAATAGAGTGTAACGCTTGGCTGCAATCAGCAAATGTAACCCTGTAGATTCTGCAAGTCTCAAGTTAGTTTGCTGTCTAGAGAACAGTGTTTGTACCATGGATATAAAAGTCTACAGTGTACTCTTTCAAATGCAGGGTTTATGTGACATAAAAAAGATCAATGAGTCATTTCAAAACGTTTCCCCCCCCCACGAATGTAACATACAGTATAACCTAAACATCTAAATTATTCAAGTAATAAAAAACTTAAAATTACTGAAATATTGTGGTTGCACAAGTGTGCACACCCTCATAACCGGGGATGGTGCTGTTTTCCGACTGAGCCAATTGCATTCAAACTTGAAAATGCCTCTGATTAATCTGTCCTAGTAGGCTTTTGCGAACATTTGTAAAGCAATTACTGCAAAACACTAAAGCTTTTGTGTTAACCCTAACCCTTCTTCACACTGTTAATAATTACCTCCTTGTCAAAGACGTCCTGATGAAGACAAGTGTCAAAACATGATGTATCAACCATCATGCTTTACTCAAGTCCAAGATTTCAATCAATCCAGATTGCAAATACGGTTGACTTAGACCAGTCTCAATTTACGTCTTTTTAATGTGGTGTCATCAGCCGCGGAGGTTGAAAAAAGTGTCAAACCTAATTTGACAAAGCATGGAGAAGAAAGTGCAGCTAACAAATGAAGGAGTAAATGGAAGACGTCATCATCAAAATACGCAAATTAAATATGCTTACTGAAAAATATACAGTGCTTAAGTACAGTAGCAAAATATTTGTACTTAATACTTTCAACACTGCTGACATGCAACGGTCCAGTGCTTCGAAATCTACTTCCCAATCTGACTGGGCTCATGATAGAAAACAATGTGCGACCCGTTTCCGTGACTTTTCTGCCACTGCCGCTCCTGCATTGTTTCACAGCGAGGGGAAAATAAACTCTCTCCTCTTCCTGCTCGGGTGTGCAGCACTACGATTGAGCTGGAGAAGTACGAGTGAATGAGTGGAGAAAACAAGACAACAAAGTCAACATAACTCTTCTTTGCTGAAAAACGCGCACTGCAGCAATCGTCTCTTCCAGGATGTTTCTTGTCATATCAAGGGGGCTGTTTTATGTGACACTCACTCGTGTTTACCATGACAGTCATTGCAGTGGTTTCCCAGGAGATTTGTTGCGGTATGTGCGCTGAGGAGGGGCGATATTTCACATTTGTGAGTGTCAAGGCTGGCTTTCTTATGACAATAATGGGAATTGGATCATGTTAAATGTCTGTCCTTTCTGCGCCATAAGACCCTTATGAGGACAAGCGGTTTAGAGACTGGATGGATAGAGTGTTTAGCTGAGAAGCTGATTATCTGGGTGATGATTAATATGGGAGTCCAATTTTAAAAGGCCAAAATATAGACTGGTGACTGGTACACAAGCCAATACCTGTTCTCGTGGGAAACCTTTTTTTTTCCTATGACACAAAGTCATTTAATCCCTGGAGAAAGCCACTTTCTACTCAGTAGTATTAAGAACTGCCGGGTTCCTGTGGGATTCTCAAGTAAGACAGTGCTATTGTGCAAGAGGAGGGCATAAGCCTTTAACTGCTTGTCAGTCAATTGCAGGGTATACAGTATATGAACAAACACAACCCGTCACACTCATGTTCACACCTCTGGACAATTAGTCTTCAATAATACCTCCTTTCATGATAATTTTTTTTGGGGGGGAGGACTCCTGGGAATTAGGAAACTGGGACATTTTTTAACCCAAATAAACTTTTAAATAAGCGGGAATATAGTGTCAATAAGGATTTTCAATGAAAAATCGGGGTTGGCTATCCCCTTTATATATTTTGAAAATATATTATAAAAATATATTAGGGGGAAAAGAATAAGCGAAAAAGCGAATCCTGGGGTTGTGATGTAAAAAAAAAATTAGACCAAAACTTTATCCATTAATGTTGCCAATACCCTGTACAACTCAATAGAAAAAAAAAAACTTTGTAAGGGGAAGTAAAAATGCATCCATTCATTCATTATCTGAACCGCTTCTCCTCATGAGGGTCACGGGTGTGCTGGAGCCTATCCTAGCCGTCTTCAACAACCATTCACCATCACAATTACACTCAGGGACTATTTAGAGTGTTCTGTCAACCTACTGTGCATGTTTTTGAAATGTGGGAGGAAATCATAGTACCTGGAAAAAAACTCACACAGCCACTGGGAGAACATGCAAAAGCGACACAGGAATGCCAGAGCCCAGATTGGAACGCTGGACTTCTGTACTGTGAGGCGGACCTGTTCATCAGTCGGTCACCTTGCCGCCCGGGAGATAAAAATAACCAACTGAAATAACATGGTTGCATATGTGTACAGCCTCATAACTAATTACTCAAATTCAAACTCATGTTAAGTGGGAGTCAGCACATTCATGCCACCATTTACAGTGCCTCTGTTAGATGTTCTGGTAGCATTTTTTGCTCTCTAGCAGACGCCTGAAGGTTTTGTGTGAAAACTGATTGCTATTTGGCCCGGTTCATCATTCCCTTCGTCCTTACTTAGGCCCTGGTGCAGAGGAAGAAAAACAGCCTCAAAGTTTGCTGCTGCCAACAACCATGCTTGGCTGTATAAATGTTCTTCTGGTCAAGAGCAGGGTTGCGTCTGCAACAAACAGGTTTCTTTACAAAATCTCCCAAACACGTGGCGAAATATGTATGGCGAGTTGTGTGTTGAATTGGGGGCGGGGGTGAATTCACTTCCATTTTGGAATAAGGCTGGAACATAATGTAGAAACTTGGGAACTTCACCTGTGATTTGGATATCAGCCTACTACAACTTTAAGATTATGCATGTCAGGCAATATGGGATTCTATCAGAACAACATTTAATACAAACCAAATGAGGTGTGAAGTGTAGTTTAGCTTGCCTTCATTTATTCTGCACTTACTGTGTCAATGTAGACTTGCTGAAAATTCTCTCTGAAACTTCCCACTTATTTATCCATGAGGGGCATTCGCCTGACACTATTCTTGGTTACAAACTGGAGAATGCAAATAAATCAACGTCACTTTTGAGTGTTTTGAAAGGCGCTTATAAATGTAATGTATTATTATTATTATTATTATTATTATTATTTTGTGCTGCTCCAAGCAGACAATATTTGATCATCTTGCAAACGTGTCATGCGCCACCTGCCGGCTGGAACATAATCGCACAAAAAATGGCTTTAATTATGCTGTGAAGCCGTCAAGCGGCTTTGATGGGTTTGCAAGCACGATGTGTTGACAATGTCATAAAATGAAAGGCGGTAAAGCCAGCTGTCACACAACACGATGTTCCGTACTGAGGTAAAGGAAAGGTTAAAAAACAACAACAACACTACTCATCAAGGATGGCTACTCTGTTGTGGTACTAAGTCAGGCAACAAAAACCACAACGTTTTATTGCATTTGCTGTATGACTTTACTGGCATTGAAATAAATAGCCTAGGAGGAAATATGCTATAAAAGCAGACTGATGAGTTTTACTGAGACGTGACACGAACAAAGTCGAAAATGTATTTGAGTACCTCTTGTATCTGAGTGGAGATTGGATTCAGGCATCATCGTAAAAATACTCTGTGATTGATATGCTGTCAACTTTAAATGTCATTCGGGTTATGAACACAACCCATCTTTGAACAAATATATGTCTTCCAAGTTGGTAATTTTCACACAGTGTAGGATCCAGAGGCATGTGGGCTCCCTCCAGTTTGCCGCTGCTTGAGTACAGCACATTTACATTTAATCTTTATGAACTCTGCTTTTTAAAGTGTAATTTCAGTATTTTTTTTATAAAATGTCACATGCATCCATCATCAGATCCATCATCCTCACGAGAGTTGCGAGCCTGCTGGAGCCGATCCCAGCTGACTTCGGGCAGTAGGCGGGCTACACCCGAAACTGGTTGCCGGCCAATCACAGGGCACACATAGATGAACAACCATTCACACTCACAATCACACTTAGGGACAATATAGAGTGTTCAATTAACCTACCGTGCATGTTTTTGGAATGTCGGAGGAAATCAGAGTACCCAGAGAAAAACCACACAGGCACAGGGAGAGCATGCAAACTCCACAGAAGAAGGCCAGAGCCCTGAATTGAACCCCGCACCTCCACACTATGAGACTGGCGTGACGTAATACATTACAGGTGGATCATTATTTAAGTTATGTATTTAATATTTTCCTACATTTAAGTGTATTTTATGTAAAAAGTTTGACAACCACTGCTGTAAGTGTTCTGTGGCTGAACTCATTTTCTCATTAAGTCTTAATTGAAAGCTTCTCCTGCGCTAGTTCCGCATGATTAAACTTTGACTAGGCACTCTCCCAGTATAATTTGGAACTCCTATTTCCTGACCTTGAACTGAAGAAAAATGTAAGGCGAACTCACTTGTCCTGTAGCGTGTATTCCGTGTTTTCTGGTGAAATCTGCCCGGTAACAGGGTGCCGAAATGATGTACACCTCACGTTGTGGCTGCAGGAGAAGAGAAGAAGTTGTTTATCAGGGAAGGAATCAGGTTCTTGCACAGCCAACATACAGATATGACGTGATGGTTTGAACCCAAACCTGCTAAAATTTTGTTAAAATCGTCATGTCATCACCCCCTAGTTAAACTCGTTATTGCAGCAGACACGAGGGGCCGCGAACCTGGGTTTGGTCACATGATACTTGCAACGCAAACACAACAGCAGCAGTTGCAACGTTAATTTACGTTGATAGCAGAGAGCAGTATTGCCCAACACGAAATGGAGTGAAGTTATTATTCAAGCTAACACCAAATTCCCACATGTGTATCTTTCAAATTGGTCAAGAGAACAGAAGATAACGGATGCATGCAGGCTGGTCATGACAACCCTCATTGACTCACCAAATCCTTTAAGGTTCTTTTGCTTTGGATTAGGACTAAACTATTTTTCAGTATGCACAATTTGATGCCACCAAATTGAAGCAGTGCAGCTTTCTGTTAGCTCTGCTCACCGCCCCAACCATTTAATCTTTAATCACCATCAGCCACATTTCATTCCTAATCATAACTTTTATTATATAAGCTAAGACTAAAAATAGAGTGAACAAATACTTCTGCAGATGTTCTAAAAACATGCTCCACATACAAAATATCTGCAATAAGCATGTTCACACACTCATCGCTTTAGGTGCACTGAGGGTGATTGTATTACTGTTGCGATGATGGGCTAAAACAACAGCAATGCTGAACAATTCAAACATAATTTCTCACTGCATCGAGATTTATGAGTTGACATTCTGGAAAATTTCAGACAAGATATTGAACAGTATTGATGTCAAGAGATTCAGCGCATACAAACATCACACATAAACACTACAAGTACAAGTACAAGGTTGCCACATCCATATACTATATACACAATTCTAAACCCAGATGCCCAGGCACTGGGCCAGGCTTGTTCCTGGTACCAACTCATCTTGGGCTGATCTGCGCCGGACACACTGTAGAGCACTGCACCACCAGCACATCCCCCGTTAATTAGAACGCTGCATTCTTTGAGGCTTTTGTTTCAGCCACATTACTTCTGAACTATTTGTCACGGAATTTGCAGCATCCCTAGTTAGTGCGGCAACACTGCAGCACAGTACATCTATTTGTTTGCAGCCAACTTCATCAGTGCTCGTGGCACTGTCATCCCGAAAGGCCAAATAAACTCCTGCTTGCAGATAACATACCCAACAGAAGTGCACCGTGCACTGTAGTGGCTGTGCAGTGCATAAGAAAAAAGGCATGTGTCCTCCCATATAGAGTGATAGCATAAGGAGTCGCTGAGGCACTTTCAGCTGCTTAGTGATCTGAACAAACAGTCAAACATGCAATTACAATATGAAAACACTCATAAGGAGCATGGAGAATGTGCTACACTGACCTAACAGCGTCAATGGATATGGCAAATATACAGGTATATAGCAATAACAAATGGGCAACAAGAGCTCGATGCAGACGTTACTCGCTTGTCCCTTAAAGGCACATGTCAAAACACGAATACCACACTGTGTGTGTGTGTGTGTGTGTGTGTGTGTGTGTGTGTGTGTGTGTGTGTGTGTGTGTGTGTCGGAAATATAAGTGCACGTCTTCAGGCCGTGTCCTTTTAAAGGGCAACGTGACTCATAGCGAGCTAGCGAGCTCGCGGACTCATCCATCTTTGGGATACATTAGACTTTATCAAACCAATTAATTTCTTTACATTTTAAAACGTTTTTAAGCACACATTTAGGATAACACAAACACATTCAAACACATAATATATTGAGAGAGCGCAAGAACAAAAGGAAAACAAAAGTATTGTGCAAAAGCATAACAGCAATAATCTTTCCCAAAAATATACATTATAAAATGAACCGACAGCTTAATGTCGGCGAAAAAGGATCCAAGAGGATGTGAAGTTCAATAAGCTTCAGCAAAAACTAATCTGAGATGAAATACTTCCTGTTTGCATACAACTTGCATCCCATATCTCACATCAGACTTCACGACTGTGATTGCTGTGCGGCATAGAGGTGTAACCAAAGTAGTGGCGGTTTGAGCACATCCAACTTACATTAACACAAATTGAGAGTCCTCATGTCAACCACAAACATGACGTGAGCCTTGACCACAGCACTGTATCTGTTCATCATACCACATAATAGCACAGATGCAGTATCTCATGCACTCAGTGGAGACCATCTGAGCTGATGTCGGACACAGAGGCATGGTGAATCAGCTGTGTTGCAACAGCTTATCGGAATTCTCTCAGAACTACCAGGATACGTATAGGATGTTCATCCATCCAAATGAATCAGAGAAACGTGGAGGTTTACAGTGTGCAGTTTGGGATGGGATGGATCCAACCGGCTCCCCTCAAGGGAATACCTCAGCTGCTTATCAGATCCTCTTCCCTCTCCGTGTTTTACTTCCCTGCACAAGTCCATACTCCCATTTTTCTAAGTATTGGAGTTGCTCTGCTGGACTTTGCTGATGTGTGAAGCGTAGCCATTGAGAATGTTCTGTACTGTATCAGTCGTCAAAATAGTGGCAGGAAAAGTTTCTTGCATTTCTTGAGCAGTGTCAGAATAAGAATTAACAAAGTGAACTCAACGAGAGAAAATGGGTCACTTAAATCAGTGTTTTTCAAACTTTTTTGAGCCAAGGCACACTTCTTTCATTGAAAAAAATCTCGAGGCACACCACTAGCTTAAAATGTGACACCCACCCCCCCTTATTTGAACAATTAACGTGTTATATTGTTACTATAACCGTTTTTAACATTGAAGAATGACGTTATAACAGCTTGAATTGGAGTCAAATGAACAAATGAACACAAAGAAAACAGTATGTTATCATCTTTCATATTTATTGTTTCACCGTCGTCCTGCATTCATGCTTCACTAATTCGCTTGTCTCTCGTCGAAACACAAGGCAATTGGCTAGCTGTTGCTGCTCCCTAGCGGTATGGGAGGGTACTACATGATCACTTTCTGGGCAAAAGACCGCACAGGCATACAAATTGGATATTTTCCCGCGGCACACCTGACAATGTCTCGCGGCACACGGTTTGAAAAACACTGACTTAAATCAATCAGACATTGATCTTTAATTGGCTAAATGATCAGAAATCTGCCCAAGATGCAGTTGACTATGCAGTCCAGTGACCCAGGAATAAACTTACAAGTTCAGCACACCTCCGACTCCCCGTATGAACTGGTTTATAAGGCACATTGACCTATGATCTAAGCCAATAAGGAATTCCAAACTAATCCAGAGGTATGCGAGTGGAGGGCGCAATACCAACACAAGATTTCAGAAAATATTGAATGGCATGAGATGTAATTGCATAGCGTTTCGGGTTTTTTTGAGGCTGATGTAATCACTACGTTGGAAATTTAGGGGGTGGCGGGGGGGTTGCCAAATGTACGCCAATGTTATTGCTTATTTGATCCCTTAAAATATGTTGCCTGTAGTGTTCTCACTTGTATACGGATGTGAAACCATAAATAATAAATAAATAGAATGCTTCTCATGAACCATCATCACTACTTTATACATTGTATATTTTGTGTTAATTGCGATAAAACTTATGTGATACCAAACAGCGGCCGGCCGGGTGTTCCAGTGGTTAGCACGTCGACCTCACAGTGCAGAAGTCTTGGGTTCGATCCCGGCTCCGGCCTTCCTGTGTGGAGTTTGCATGTTCTTGCCGGGCCTGCTTGGGTTTTCTCCGGGCACTCCGGTTTCCTCCCACATTCCAAAAGCATGCATGGCAGGCTGATTGGACACTCTAAATTGTCCCTTGATGTGAGTGTGAGCGCGAGTGGTTGTTCGTCTGTGTGTGTGCCCTGCGATTGGCTGGCAAAAGGTTCAGGATGTCCCCCGCCTACTGCCCGAAGATGGCTGGGATAGGCTCCAGTACACCCCTGTGACCTTTGTGAGGATAAATCAGATTGGAAAATGGATGCATGGATGGATGACACCAAACAAGAAATGTGTAATCAGTCCAAATGGTGAAATTTCTTCAGTGCATTGAGTTGTCATGTTCACAATCGGACAGATCAAATATGCCGACATACAGAGGCCTAAATGAATGACTGAAAGCTTGAATGAGCAAATGAATTAATATTTTAGCCATAAATTCACAATTATAGTTAATATTTAAATGTACAGTTCAAGGAACTCACATTCTCAGTTGGGCGTTCACATATTAATATATTTGCAGACATTTGGATGGAACATCGGTATACCGGTACTCTGTTATTTGCTGAAAAACTAGGAAAAAAAACAGTTTTTATGCTCGTGGCAAAGCAAAAAGTTTTAATTTGACCCGATCTTGTGGAATCTTTGTGCCACGGAACTATGTGGAACTGAGTTGAGGAGCTTCATATCGACAAAAGTTGTACTTTGGTGCCAATAAACTGTGTTGAACTGAGTTGAGGAACTTCATTTAGACAAAAGGAGTTCTTCACTGCCATCCCGGTGCCAATGAACTGTGTTGAAGTGAGCTGAGGAGTTTTATTTGTACAATAAAATACAATACAATGCATCCTGATTTATATAGCGCTTTCACAACAGCTGCAGCTGTAACAAAGCGCTTCACAAAACAGTTAACATAAAGTAAAATTATAAACACAACACATAACATAAAACACGAAGTCGTGCAGTCTCATACAAAAAGAGCTATTTGCCAAAAGTAGTTCTTTGTCATCAATATGTCATGATGGTGGTAAAGAACTATGTTGAAGGGGGTTGAGGAATTTTATTCAGGCAAGAGTTTTGTCACCATATTGTTGGTATGTCATGGAAATAAAAAAAAAAACATTTTAGAGGGTGCGTCAAATTTATCAATCGTGAATTTTCTTCAATGGATAAATGTAGCTCAATGTTGCGTAACAAGACATTGTTATTGTTGCAGTTTGCAAATCACACATCAATGTTGTTTGTATCCAAAAGCAGGTATTTTATGCGGTGAAGC